TTTGATTCATCGTTTAAAATACGCAAGTCTAAAAATTCACATGAATAAATAAATTTCGATGAATTTCTTTGATAAAATAACTTTTGGAGTAAGATTTTAAAATTTAATTATAAAGTGGATTTGATGAGGTGCATCTAATATTGTTTGTAAATTAATGTTTCTGTTTCACTAAACAATTTATTTGGCGTTTAGCTCTTTCAACAATAATTTAATTTAATTAATTAAATCTCACACAACGAGGTAGTAACAAAGAAATTATAGAATATGTTCCAAAATTCATTTGAAATTAATGCAAGAAATTTTACACGATCTGTAATAGGTTTTACGGTATTAATTTTTCAATTTTTTTTATTCATCGTTAAAATACACAAGTCTAAGAAAAGACGAGTTAATAAATTCGTACCTGTTCACTTTCATTCATGTGACTAATTTTGATAGAGAATGATGGTGAATGAAAATTAATTTCCTATGATTTGAATGAAAATGAGTGAAAGATTTAGTCATTTCAGATTAGTGATTTTGAATAATAGGATTTCTCACCCTTTTCATTTTACACCCTATGCTTAATACATAGGGCGAAGTAAGAAATTAAGCCAGATTAATTGAAATGAAATGAAATGAGTTTGAAGGAAAATGACTGCATGTGAATGAAAATCTTCAGTCACAAAGCGAGATGACTGAAGTTTGAATGAAAAAAGCTTTTTTTGAACAGGTATGATTTATGCATGTGAGAAAAAAAACTTTACACGAGGTGTAGAAAAAACTAAAACATTAATTAAACCAGGTTCGAATGATGGTTTGAAATTGGTTTACACTTGCTGAGGTCGACAATGAGATCTGTCGTATTTATATTTTATTTATATTTTTTTGAAATATTTTATTCGACGTTGCACTCTTGAAAAATATTTTATTATTTTCATTTTGCCAGCACATTATGAAAATCACACTTTCTACATCAGAAAAGCTGACTAAAAAGGAGACCAACATTTAATTACTTAACAGTATTAACAAAAAGTCGTATACTTTGCTAAAAATGCAGAAATTATGATAAAATCAATATAAATCAAGAATTAAAATTTATTCAAATTACTTATTTGTCTCGAATAGCAAGCTCATAAAGTTTGTTAGGTTTAAAAAACTGTGTAAAACTGTAGTAACGAACAAATCACATAATATGTTCGAAAATTGTTTGGAAGTATAACACCCAACAAAGAATCTGTTACCGTTTTTAGGAAATGAATTTTTCAAATTTTTTTATTCGTCGTTTTTCAACCACTTAAATTAAGTCAATCAAAAAAATCAAGACGAAAATTGGTAAATTTTGATGATAAAAGTGTAACAAACAAATCATAGAATATGTTCAGAAATAAGTTAAAATTTATTAATTCACCTTGATTGTTTAGATTACACTCTTGGAAATAGGGTTACGATTATTACCAAATTGTAAACGTATATGACTGTACCGCCGTGGTAATGAATTGGTCACCAACTGGTTATAAATTTTTTAGCTCTGGTGACAATTTAATACCAAGTCGGTGAAACTTGATAATTAGTCGGTGAAAATTGTAACCGCTTGATGACAAATTCATAACCACGGCGGTAGAGACACACACGTTTACTTTTTGGTTATAATCGTAACCCCATTTCTAAGAGTGTATCGATGTTTTCAATGTATGCAATTTTTCAAAATACGTAAGCATTAAGGGCATTCGAAGTTCTTACGCCCCTGGCTGGTGAACTGCTCTTTTGTGGCTAAGCTGATTTCCCTTTTGTGCAAAATTTTTGTCACATTCTGCGCACTTGAATGGTTTCGGATTCGCGCTATGGCAGTGCTTGTGCCCTGTTAAAGAAACTTTCATTCATGCGACTGATTATGATAGAGAACGATAGTGAATGAAAATGAATTTCCTGTGATTGAAATGAAAATGAGTGAAAGATTCCGTCATTTCAGATGAGTGACTGTGAATGACAGGATTTCTCACTCATTTCATTTTTCACCCTATGCTTAATACATGGGGCGAAGTAAGAAATGAAGTCGAATGAAGTGAAATGAAATGAATTTCAACGAAAATGTGACTGAAAATCTTCAGCCAGAAATCGGGATGACTGACTTTTGAATGAAAACTAAATTTTTGAACAGGTACATAGATATATGGTTTAATATACTTAAAATGCTTAAACCTAGAATATCATACATTTTGATGAGTTTATTAGAGAAAATAATTTTATTCGATGCGTAAAAAAACTGTCAAAAAAATAATCATATAATGTGTTCAACAAATGGGTTTAAATTGTGTTTACACTTTTTTCAAGATGGTAATAATGTCATCTGCCTTGAATTGTCGTTTCATTTTTCTTTCGAAATACTTTATCCGTCGTTTTGCCCATGCTAATCATACCTGTTCAAAAATTTAGTTTCCATTCAAAGTTCAGTCATCCTGATTTCTGAATGAAGATTTTCATTCGCATTTTCGTTGAAATTTATTTCATTTGCTACTTCGTCCCATTATTTAGCATAGGGTGAAAAATGAAATGAGTGAGAAATCTTTCATTCACAGTCAATCATCTGAAATGACGGAATCTTTCACTCATTTTCATTCAAATGACAGGATATTCATTTTCATTCACCATCAATCTCTATCATAATAAAACAAGTGAATGAATATGAACAGGTATGATGCTAATCAATGTTTTCATTATTTTAATCCTTTTCTCTTTCATCGTTAAATAAAATTCTTAATTAAAAATTAAGGAATATGTAAATTATATAAGGTGTTCTAAAATGCTGTTGAAATAGGCTGATCTGTTATAAAAAATTTGTGGGCGTGTTTTTTGAGATAATAAATATCCCAATTTCATAAATTGTCGTTTTAGTTCAAATTTAAAAATACAGATCTAAAAATTTCGTAAAATTTTATTTGTATCTGTAATAACAAATACTGTTTTTCAGAATTTAACTGTTTTCATCTTTTGACCATTGCGTAAATAAAATTCTTGTTTTTTTTCTAAATTATAAATATATTAATTATATAATGTGTTCGGAAATATGTTACCCAATGAAATTTCGGTAATTCACCTCATTTAATTTTTCGAAAGTTGTGGATTTTAATCTATCACTATTTATAAATTATTATTATTTTTCTCAAAATCCTTTATTCGTCGTTTTACCTTGCTAAATTAAATTAATCTAATCTCTCGATAAGAAAATCCACAAATTTTATATAATACGAATTCCAAATTTTTATACATTTTCATTTTATTGAAAATTTAAAAATATAGCTTTCAAATATAAAAATTTTAAAATAACTATTCAAACTTTCAAAATTTAAGATGAAGGATTAAATTTCGAGGATGAAGGACTTAATTTTATACAATTTTATATATGTAATAACAACAAATAAATTTTTAAATTGAATTGAATTTAATGTTTTCATCTTTTCGTAAACCAAATTCGTCGTTTTTTTCAAAACAAAATTCGTCGTTTTTTTTCAAAACAAAATTAAAAATTAAACCAAGGAAAGTTCTATGTTTTCGGGTTTTGAGATTTTTAGAAATACGTCATTCGTCGTTCTTCTTTCGCGTAAAATATATTTATATTCATTCATTTTATTTTTTATTTTTGGTTTCAGATACATTGAATTTTGAATTTTGAACTTTACATTTTGGGAATATAATTTTAGACGAGGAGGATAAATAAAATGTAAAAAATTAAATACTTATAAAAAAACTTTAAAAAATGTTTTGAAAATTGTTCCATAATTCTCGAATTTTAATTAATAAATTGATCAATTTCCTACTTTTTTTAAGAAAATTAACTGTAAAAAACTAAGCATAAAAAATGTGTTCGAAAATGGTTTGAAATTAGTTGCAGAAATCTTGATATAGCATAATCTGTGAATTTAATTTCAGCTTTATTATTTTTTTCAAAATTCTTTATTCGTCGTTTTACCATGCAAAATTAAATTAAATTAATTTAAATAGGTATTTATTATCTCGAGAATCTCAAATTTTCTTTATTAAAAATTCCTAAAAAGATGTTCCTCATTTACATACATATTTGTTATTTTAATAGGTTTGATTTTTTTGGAAACAAATAAATAAATTTGGAAACAAATAAACAAAAAAAAAATCAGGAAAATATTCAAATTTGGAAACTTTCATTTTTATTTACCATATCATAACAATTTCTCTTTCAAAATGATCCTCATTTACATATTTACATGTGCCCACGGATTTGTTTGTTGAAATAAAAACGTAAATTTGGGAAATGTTTTTATCAAAAATTGGAAAATTTAGTTTTTGTTCATTTTCATTTTTCATAAATATGTAAACATTTCCTCAAGGTTTTCCTAGGAACTTTCTTTTTTATGCGTCATTTTATAACGATAATTGTGCCAAAATCATTATCATTTACAAATGAGCACGGATTTATTTATTTCAATAATAAAAACAAAATCTCTGGAAATGTGTATGAAAAATTGAAAACTTTCGTTTTTATTTGTTCATTTTTCATAAATATGTAAACATTTCCTCAAGCTTTTCCTTTTTGACTGCCTTCAACAAAACAGCCCTGGACGGATTGGATCCACTTGGCCATCTTGATGTCGGACAGCTTCTGCTCCCCGTTTCCGGGAATGATAAGCACGCACGTGCTCTGGTCTCCGTCCGCTAATTCTTATTTTTTAAGAAATAAAAAAAATTATGAAATTTCTATTACGAAATCTAAAAAACTGGAAGCTTTGATTTTTATTTGTCATTTCATCGAATGCTACAAAACCCCTCCTCATTTGCATATGCTCCCCGATTTTTGTTCCAATTAAACCAAAAATTTGTATCGTCAAAAGTTAGAAACTTTCGTTTTATTTTATTTCTTATGTGAAAAAAATTGCTTATGGTTTCCCTTTTTGACTACATTCGACAAAAACACTTGGGCGGAAAATTTCACAAAAATCTGCTCTATTTGTAATTATTTTTGCGAAATAAAACGAAAATTCAGGAAATTTTTATCATAAAAAATTGGAAACTTTCGGTTTTATTTGTTCATTTTTCATAAATATGTAAATATTTCCTCAAGCTTTTCCCTTTTGACTGCCTTCGACAAAGCATCCCTGGACGGATTGGATCCTCTTGGCCATCTTGATGTCGGACAGCTTCTGCTCCCCGTTTCCGGGAATGATGAGCACGCACGTGCCTTGACAGTCCTTCTCCGTGCACGCGGACACGCACGTGCCTCGCGTGTCCACCGCTTGCGCCCTGCTCAACCAGCGACGTGGCATATTTTTACAGGCGCCGTCAGGAAGGTCGAAATGGGTGGACATTCCTAAAATAAAAAAATCAAAGTTTTCAACTCAGAAATATATTTTTCATGAAATTTTGTAAATTAATTTATGCAATCAAATCAATGCGATTATTTAAAGGAGATATCACATAAAAACTCATTCTTTGTCATGAAATAAATCAATTTTGTAATGGAAGCAAATTTTTAATAAATTTTGGAAATAAATTTTCACAATATTTCAATATAATTTTGGATTAATTGTATGTACCTAAATACGCTTGTTTCTTAAAGTACTACAAAATCTTCCCAAATTTATTCACGCTTTTAAACAAATAAACCAAAATTCATGACAAAAAAATCACCGTCCTAAATTTCCCGTTCAAAATATATTTTCCCCAAAATTATGGAAACTTACCATTTTGATACTCCTCATCATAAAAGTCCGCCTTTGTCCCGAGCCTTTCATACTCGTCCCGAATCAGTTCCAGTTTCAAGGCGGAAACAGCCACGAAGAAGAAAATCGACGCGAAAATGATCACTTTTTGTGCCATGATGATAACGATAAATTTTTGTGTGACGTGACGTGACTCACTTTCAAAACTTGACTGAGGGCAAAATAAATAAGGTGCAGGCAGCTTTTGTGCTACAGAACCAGTGGCCGCGGAAGCCGTGGGGACATGAGGGGACACTAACTTTGTAGAGGAGGGTTAATATAAAATATTACAAGGGACATCAAATAACTGTGAGCACATTGTCCGCGACGCTTCCGCGGCCACTGCATAAAAGCATGTTAAACTTATGTAATCAGTGGCCGCGGAAGCCGTGGGGACATTAACATCGTAGGATAGGGAAGTGAGGGGTATATATGACATGGGCAGATGACACCGACAGTGTAGATATTGTCTCTCTGTCCGCCCCTACGCTTCCGCGGCCACTATTCGTTAATATTCACCGCACAAGGGAGACAAACAGTAGCCGCGGAAGCAGTGGGGACATCTGGGGACAGTAACATTATAGAATGAGGGAGGGTGGGGTTTAAATAAAATGGGCAGGCGATGCGGACATTGAACAACCGTGGGGCCATTGTCCCTCTGTCCCCACGCATCCGCGGTCCCTGGTCAGAATTAAGATGCAAAAGTACATTCACTTCTTCTTCTCTTTATTATGCAACCCAGCCTCATGAATGAACACTACGCAATGTGGTACATCGAAGGAATAGTTGTAAATATTTTGTGTGGTTGGTGACAACTTCATAAAATGTCAACTAACCGGAATTCACATTCTTCTCGTCGTCGTCGAGTTCATCACAACAGTTTTCAAGCCAACAATATGTACGAAGGGACATAGAAAATTCTTCAGATGAAAAATAAATGAGATAACAAATAATCAGACGACGGTTATTTATTTTGGTTAGAAATCTTACAAATATGTATTTAATATTTTGGAATAAATGGAAATATTGGCTCGTTTGCATTTATTCTTGAGACGACAAATAAACCGATGACAATTAACCACAGGACGGATATGAATTTATGAGAAATCTTCGAAATATATATGTACTTACGAAAAAAACGCCAAAATATTTCCGAAATATGTACACGAAAAAAATTTAAGGATACGAATTTTCGCAAAATTTGTACATTTGCTGTGAATTTATCGTAGTCCAATTTCTTTGAACAAACAAATTATAAAAAGTTGAAAATGAATACATTTGCTGTGAATTTATCGTAGTCCAATTTCTTTGAACAAACAAATTATAAAAAGTTGAAAATGAATACATATCCACCCTCTGGTCATCATCATTGTTAAATAATTGGGTGGGGATCGTATAGAAGAAATGAAGGGTTTGTTGGGTGATAAATATTAGCTATTCAGGTCACACAGAGAGAAACTCTTGCCACAAAGTCGCGACAGTTTCACCGTTTCGTTCTTCTTGTCACCAGAAGAATTCTTAATATGAAACCTTTCCTTTCTTATTATTACGTCTAAAATTAGACATGCACAACTTCAACAATCCCTCAACAATTGACAAGAAATCTGAAATTTTAATACGAATTAATTATTATTTCGTCACGGTCATAAATTAGTTGCAAATTAATTGCACTAAATAATTCTAAATTAATTCCTTCGATTCGCCACCAGGGACTTAAATTATTTGCAAATTAATTCCTCTGATTCGCCATCGGGAACATAAATTACTTTCAAATTAATTGCACTAAGTAACTGCTAATTAATTGCACTAAATAATTGAAAATTAATTGTACTAAATAATTGCAAACTAATTCCACTAAATAATTGCAAATTAATTTCACTAAATAATTGGAAATTAATTGTACTAAATAATTACAAACTAATTCCACTAAATAATTACAAATTAATTGCACTAAATAATTGGAAATTAATTGTACTAAATAATTACAAACTAATTCCACTAAATAATTACAAATTAATTGCACTAAAGAATTACAAATTAATTCGACTAAATAGGTAGAAATTAAGTCCACTAAATAATTGAAAATTAAATACACTAACTAATTGCAAATTAATTCCACCAAATAATTCCAAATTAAGATAGTTTTACAGTTGTTGTCACCAGAAAAATCTAAAATATGACAAGAAACCTATTCCTTTCTTATTATTATGTCTAAAATTAGACATGCACGACTCCCACAATTGACAAGACATACGACGAAATTACGCCATTTACAAATTGTAACTCCGTAAACTTCGCAAGCTAAATACGTGAAAACTTTCCCGTAAAATTGCATAGGGAATTCTATATACCTAATTACGAATTTATCCTAAACTTGTACCGATCAAGGCATCGCTTTTTTTGTGAAAGCTTTTAAAATTGTTTCATTTCAAGATTTTCATTAACAAAACAAGACATTCCATCTCTTCGTACAAAAAATGAATAATCCACATTTACAAAATAAACTCAATCGACTTTATCCTGCGTCAAATTGTGACTAAAAATCCCAATTATTTCGCACCGTCATAACCAGGTTAGAAATTTGATCTAGTTATTAAGTAATTTCGCATGACATTCCAAAACTTAAATTTCAAATTTAATTAATTTGTTGAGGTCGGATCTGATTCGCCATCACGGACATAAATTAATCCCAAATTAATTGCAATTAATTATTTCAAATTGAAATTAAATGAAAATCATCAGCGGAAACAATTGTTACTCAATTTCTTCCTGCAGCATGATTCCGAATCAGGGCTTATGACACCATTCTGTCCGTCCGTCCATCCGTCTTACCATAAAGCTCATAAAGTCGACTTGAAATTTGTCTTACAAATACGGTACTCGGGCTAAATAAAATAAAAAATGTAGGTACTTTGTGGTACTAGAAGTACCGATTTGACAAAAAATGCGAACTCATTTGTTTTAAACAACTGTCCTCAAAAACAAATCACCGTTTTTGAACCTATGATAGAAAATTGTATCTTTATTAAATCTTGAATTTATCCAGACTATAAAATTGTTCAAACGACGTCAAACTCTGAAAAAACGTAATTTTTAGCCCGAGTCAGGGCTTATGGAACCGTCATGTCCGTCCGTCCGTCTGTCCGGCACGATAGAGCCAAAACGGCTGAACCGAATGACTTGAAATTTTTACCATATGCATATTGGGCAAAGTTAGGAAACGAGTTCGAAGATGGGCCAAATCGGTCCAGTGGTTGACCGGTGGAGGTCATCGGAGTGGGTGGGGTATTATGCACCAAAATTTCAAAATTGTCGTAGAAAGCTGAAATTTGGTACAGAGGTTGCTAATAGTTCCTAATAGATAAAAATGACTTCAAGTTGAAAAAATTTTCAATTTGAGGGACCCCATAGGGTGACCCATACTGATTTTTCAAAATCGTCATATCGACCTGAAATTTGATAGGGAGGTTGCTAATAGGTCTTATTTGAAGAATATGAAATGAAATTGGTAAAATTCTTGTCTGGAGCGACCCTATGGGGTGACCCATACCGATTTTTAGAATTTGCTGGAAAACCATGAAATTCGGCACGGTGGTACGTAATGGCTTCTCATGAAATAATATGAAGTTAAAAGTGAGCAAAGTGTAACCAGAGAGTAACCCTGGAGCTGGTCCATACCGTTTTTAATAGAAAATAATAATAGAAAATCTAAGAAACATTTAACTATCCACAACAAGGAGTTTGGTAACATTATGTCGGTCAATTCGGAGAAAAATTTAGAAATCTGATTCACGGAGTCAGGGACTCTGTCCCTGACTCGGGCTATATGGAGTCTGCACTGTAGGTTTTTAAATTCTGTTTCGAATATTGTATAAAATTGTTCAAACGACGTCAAACTCTGAAAAAACGTAATTTTTTAAATTCTATGATAGAAAATTGTATCTTTATTAAATCTTGAATTTATCCAGACTATAAAATTGTTCAAACGACGTCAAACTCTGAAACACCATAATTTTTTAGATTCTGTTTAGAATATTGGTATCTAATTTTTATAGGACGAGGAACCTCCTAAGGTGACTTTGTAGGTCATGAATTAGTCAAATTCAGTATCCTGGATTTTTTTTATGTCACACATATTTATTTTACGATTTACACAGAATTCACAATTAAAAGAGTGCGACATGCAGCGTGATGATCATATCCCGGACAAATATTTTTTTATCCTACCCTACTCGTGTTGAGCTCAACATGAGTAGGGTAGGATAAAAAAATTTTTTTTCCGGGGTATGGTGATGATTGTGACGAAATACAGGGGTTCTGGCTCGATCCTCCGGGTCTAAAAAGTCCTGTTTTCTTGGCAGGGAGGAGCGTGCACACGCTCGGATACACTTTTGCACGGATTTATGTGAAATTTTAAACTTTGTCCTAGAGATGCGAAATTTGGCATGCACATGCACCAACATATGCTGCATCGTAATATAACATCAATTCCCGTTCCGTTCGCTATAAATTTTTCAGGAAAAATCAAAAACCAAATGTCATCCCTATCATTTCGCATGCTAAAACAAATTAAAGTGTGATTTTAAAAAAAAATTACCTCGGCTCTCGGAAATATTTTACAAATTCCGTTCTCGTAGATGTCTTCCACAAGAGCACGGGGAGTTTTTAAAAGCTCGAAAAAGCTCCTCCCTTTTACCACTGCAAGGGGGTGTGGTCCAAAAACTGGTGTCTTTTTTTATCGTTTTTTCACGTATTTTTGAACTACAAAATTCCCAATATCATATTTATTGAGTGTTATATGCAAACCAGCCACACCCACTCAGAGGGAGGGGTTGAAAATTTGGGGAACTTTGAGAGCCATGCAGATTTCATCATCGATCGCGACATTTGCTCATAATTCGTCCAATAAGCTGCTATGATGAGTTTGCATACACATGTGTATAACATAAACATGTGTAAACAATATTATTTAGTTGCTTGTTAGGTACACTTTCTTACGAATTACGAGTAAATGTTGCGATCGATGATGAAATCTGCATGGCTCTCAAAGTTCCCCAAATTTTCAACCCCTCCCTCTGAGTGGGTGTGGCTGGTTTGCATATAACACTCAATAAATATGATATTGGGAATTTTATAGTTCAAAAATACGTGAAAACCCGATAAAAAAACTCACCAGTTTTCGGACCACACCCCTGGGAGTGGTAAAAGGGAGGAGTGTTTTAAGCTTTTAAAATCTACTCCAAGCAACTTTGCGGGGCCTTTTAAGATGGCATTATTACTGAAAGTCGGACTCTTAATAAATGATTTGCATATAATTTAGCGATGCATTATTAACTTCATGCCAAATTTCAGCATCTCACGACAAATTTAGAATGTTTCTATGACATTTAAATTTGTGTGCGGTCCATCCGATCCACCTAAATGACCCCCACCGGTCAACCACTTGACCGATCAGGCTCATCTTCGAACTCATCCTTACTTTTGACCCGAAGATCAAGTGTACAAAATTTCAAGTCGATAGCTTGTCTTTAAAGAGAGTAATCGTGCGCACAGACGGACGCACAGACGGACGGACAGACAGACATCCTGACGAATATATAAGGCCATCTTAAAAGGCCTAAAAACTGCCCATGCTCTTATGGAGGACATCTACGAAACCCGAATTTGCAAAATATTTCCCAGAGCTGAGGTATAATTTTTTAGAAAGCAGAGTTTAACATGTGAAATGATAGGGATGACATTTGGTTTTTGATTTTTCCTGAAAAATTTATAGCGAACGGAACGGGAATTGATGTTATATTACGATGCAGCATATGTTGGTGCATGTGCATGCCAAATTTCGCATCTCTAGGACAAAGTTTAAAATTTCACATAAATCCGTGCAAAAGTGTATCCGAGCGTGTGCACGCTCCTCCCTGCCAAGAAAACAGGACTTTTTAGACCCGGAGGATCGAGCCAGAACCCCTGTATGTATGTCGTTAACTAATTTTTGAAGGACACACTGTAAATAAAGTTGAGTAAAATTGCCACCAAAGCAAGTGTTGAGCATAATTTACTCTGACAAAGGTAAAATTTACTCAAGGTTGAGCAAAAATCTTTCGACTTTGAGTAAATTTTACCCTTGTCTGGGTAAAATTTACTCAAGAGTTGCTTTGGTGGCAATTTTACTCAAAATTGAGTAAATTGTAATCAAATTTATTTCGAGTGCAAAGAACTTCGTTAGGTGATCTTGTAGGTCAAAAGGTCATAGGTCATAAATAAAAACGGATTCTGTATATTTATTTATTTACGATTTACACAGAATTTACAATTAAAAGAGGGTAAAAAGCAGATTAATTATGACGAAATACGTCGTCACCTTAATGACACTTCCACCATTTTGGTCCGCCTGAGGGACGTAATACATGACCGCGTCATCTACCCAGACGGGACCATGTGAACTGCTACTTCTCACCCGGATCGGGCAGGAAATGAGATCCCATAAGCTCGATACCCGATTCGGTTAATTTCGATTATACCCGAGTCGTCACATTTCTCGAATGTTTCCAATTAAATTTTCGCATATCAGTAGTTCATTATAAACTTCGTTATGCGATGTTGTAGGTCAAAAGGTCATAAATAGGTCAAATTCAGCATCATGGAGTTTTTTACGTCACACATTTATTTTACGATTTACACAGAATTTACAATTAAAAGAGTGTGAAAAGCAGATTAATAATGACCAAAAATGCTGTCACTTTAATGACACTTCCACCACTTTGGTCCGCCTGTGGGACGTAATACATGACCGCGTCGTCGACCCAGACGGGCCCGTGGGAGCTGCTACTTCTCACCCGGATCGTGACATTTCCTCCGGACCGGGCAGGAAATGAGATCCCATAAGACCGATACCCGATTCGGTGATTAAGCACCCGCACGGCCTCCAGTTTCCCGTCGGCCCAGCCTTCAATCGAAGTGTCGGCCCCCGTCGTGGAGGCGAACAGGGTCAAGTACATGCGACCCGTGGGCAAACTAAGGTAACAATTAATTTAATTACTCAATTAATTTATGGCTCATTAAATACTCATAAAATCGAAATTTTCCCATAAAATTCGGAGGATTTAATTTTTTTGTGTTCTTTGAAAGGAAATTAGAAACCTTAAAACAGTGTTTTTTTTCTGTTAATAAAAAAATGGAAGAAAAACTTGTAAAATTTTAAATACTGAAAATTGGAAATTCATCAGAAATTATAAAAATTATGAACTCACAAAAATTTCAAAATTGCAAAACATAACAACAAATTCATAACTTTATGCAATGTAAAATTACAAACTCACAAAAGTGCAAAATTACAAACTCACAAAAGTGCAAAATTACAAACTCACAAAAGTGCAAAATTACAAACTCACAAAAGTGCAAAATTACAAACTCACAAAAGTGCAAAATTACAAAAAAGTTATCAAGTTACAACAAAATTATAAAGTTACAACAAAATTATAAAGTTACAACAAAATTATAAAGTTACAAAAAATTACAAAATTACAAAATTACTAAATTGAAGGGCAAAAATTCACATTCACAAAAATTATAGACTCAAAAAATTGCTAAACCATAAACTCCAAAAGTTCAAAATTTTCAAAAGTACAAAACATTACAAACTCAGGAAATTCAAAACTCGCAAAAAGTAAAAAAAAATAATAACACAAAACTAAAAAATGTAGAACTCATGGAAAAACCAAATTTCACAAAAAAACATTCAAAAGAAATTAAAAAAATATAATTTACGCTTTATCAAAAATTCGACTTACTTTGAATCACTCGTCACTCCAAACCCTTGACTTAGCACATTTTCAAATGTAATATCCTCCGAGATCGGAAGATAAGCGTGCTGCTTCCCCCTCCACGGAAATTCCTCCGACGCCACGGAACCATTTTCCGTCACCGTCCAACCGCCTTCACCTGTTCAAAAATTTAGTTTTTATTCATTAGTCAGTCATCCCGATTTCTGACTGAAGATTTTCATTCACATTCATTCATTTTTATTTCAAATTCGTTTCATTTCACTTCATCCGACCTCATTTCTTACTTCGTCCCATGTATTAAGCATAGGGTGAAAAATGAAATGAGTGAAAAATCCTTCATTCACAGTCATTCATCCTTCAGTCATTTTCAAACAAATGACAGGAATTTCATTTTCATCCAAAATTTGAATTTCAAGTAACACAAAAATTCATTTTCATTCGAAATTTGAATTTCAATTAACAGCAAATTCATCTTCATTCAAAATTTGAATTTGAAATAACAGGAAACTCATTTTCATTCAAAATTTGAATTTCAAATAACACCAAATTCATGTTCATTCACCATCATTCACTATCATAATCAGTAAAATGAATGAATGTGAACAGGTATGCAACCCCCACCACCACCCTCACCCAATTCGAAGGTCGGGTTCACAATCAAATTCCTGTCCTGGCCAGAAACATAGGTCACCCCGGAAATCACCGTCGTCGTTATGGACGTCTCGGGCACTCTGAGAGTGACCTTTCTCCCCCCCAAGGTCACATGATCCCCCACCGACTCATGTTTTTCCGTCGCCGAACTTCGGGTGACGCTCTGGATCGATAAATCGCCTCCAAAACGGTTCAGATCGAAAGATTTCGTCACATTTGTCGCATCTTCGTGCACCGTTACGATTACCTGAAAACCAAATAAATAATTTTAATAATTTAACAATTTAGTTAGTGCGAAAACTCGTTACCAAAATCTGCACATTTTTAATCATTTCTCGCCTCTGGGAATTCATTTTAAAATTCTGGACGACAAATTTTTTGTGCAGGGAGTTCCCAATTTTTTAGAAATATACACTCCAGATTTTGACCCCTTTTGAAGGAGGAGATCTCAAGTTTAAGAAGCCTTCAGAAAAATTGGAACTCGTCGAAGCTGGCTCAAAAAACTCACTACTAATCAGCACATTTTTAATAATTTCTCGCATTTGGGAATGCATTTTAAAATTCTGGACGACAAATTTGCAGTCAGTGAGTCGATTAATGGAATCGCTTTGAAATTTTTGAGCCGGTTTCGACGAGTTCCAATTTTTCTGAAGGCTTCTTAACCTTGAGATCTCCTCCTTCAAAAAGTGTCAAAATCTGGAGTGCATATTTCTTTAAAAAATTGGGTACTCCCTGCTCTACAAATTTGTCGTGTGTCGTAGAATTTTAAAAATAAATTCCCAGAAACGAGAAATGATTTAAAATGTGTTCATTTTGGCAATGAGTTGAAATGGATTGCATGACAGTTTATGCTAGAGGAAGAAGACGAACTTGAATTTTTTAAATAAACAAATATTTTGTATGAAGTCTAGATGTGAAGGTTGAAATTGGAAATTATTTTGCAATGTTTAGCAACCCAGTTAAGGTTCCCATGGATGGCGCGTTGGCGCGTAATCTCACTCTGCCCCTATCCAATGTATTCAAATGCAATTTCTAAAATCGAATCAACTCCATGAGTGTTGAGATAAATGGGACTTTTGATATTTTAATGTAAAGCTAATTTTTGGTACTACAAAACCTTGGTGTTTTGAAAAATTAGAAAATTCATTTACTATTTTTGCACACTAAATTTCCTCAAAAATGAATTTTCTAATTTTTCAAAACACCAAGGTTTTGTAGTACCAAAAATTAGCTTTACATTAAAATATCAAAAGTCCCATTTATCTCAACACTCATGGAGTTGATTCGATTTTAGAAATTGCATTTGAATACATTGGATAGGGGCAGAGTGAGATTACGCACCAACACGTCATCCATGGGAACCTTAAAATTCGCTCTGATAACAAATCACGTAATGAACGAGACCTTGGATCATTTTACACCCTAATTTTTGATGGAACGCGATCGATTTCATTTAATTACGAGTTAATTAATTACTAATTAAATGCTTGAACACATTCATTAATTAATTACCAAAGTCTTCGCGGTCGGATCAAACGCCGCTACGGATTCGCCATCACTGACATAAATTAATTGCATGCCTGTAATAAAAAATTGAAATTTTACAATTAGTTTTGTCCAATTTTTTGCACAATTTTTTGCCATTTTTTTCTGAAATTATTTTTGCATAATTATTTGTTGCCAGTATTTTAGTGCATAATATTTAAAAGCGTCTAAATTCATGTAACTCGAAGTTTTCTGAGCAATTATTTTGCACAATTAAATTTTTCATTTGCAATTATTTTTGCATAATTATTTCCTTTGTAGAATTATCTTTGCATAATTAAGTATTTCCTTTGTAGAATTATTTTTGCATAATTAAGTATTTCCTTTGTAGAATTATTTTTGCATAATTAAGTATTTCCTTTGTAGAATTATTTTAGCATAATTAAGTATTTCCTTTGTAGAATTATTTTTGCATAATTAAGTATTTCCTTTGTAGAATTATTTTTGCATAATTAAGTATTTTCTTTGCAATTATTTTTGCACAATTACTTCATCCACAATTATTTAAATATCGTAGCGAGATTTAAACACCTTGTCGAATATACTTGGAAAACTGCATGAGCCCGTAATACCCAGAGTTCACTGTGACCTCCTCCAATTTGGCGTCAAAACGGTACGGAACGCTGATCACGCCCCACTCATTAATACTCTCCACGATTTGCCAGTACACTAAAAATAATGTCATTTTAATTACTAATTAACTACACAATTAAGTCAAAATTAATTAATATAATTTATAAAATATATATAAATCTCTTACGCCACGCGGACGGCATCATGTACTTCAAATCGGATATGATCCTCCTAAAAAATCATGACGAAAATATTTTGATATCATTTTCAAAAATATGCAAATCTTTTACATATTTTTTATAAAAAATGCAAATCTTTTACATATTTTTTATAAAAAATGCATATATTTTGTAAAAATTTCAACGATGTGAGACGAACTTTTTTTTACGCAAAGTGATTTTACCCAAAAAGCCAGACCCAACCATAGTGGCTCCTTGCTAAAATATAAAACAAAATAAATCGCATGTGAATCAGCAACAGCGCCCAAATCGTTGAAAGATTTTTGTCTCAACCACCAGCCGCTGGGCTCACCAGGCAGCAGCTCCAGCAAAGTTCAGTTTTCTGCGATTACATTAGCCGAATGAGCCGAATTATCCTATTATTTAACATTATTTATTTTATTTTGGCATTTAAGTTATTCAATTTGTCAGAATTTGAGTAATTGAACAACTTGAACGCCAAAATAAAATAAATAATGTTAAATAATACGATAATTTGACTCATTCGGCTGATGTAATCGCGGAAAACTGAACTTTGCTGGAGCTGCTGCCTGGTGAGCCCAGCGGCTGGTGGTTGAGACAAAAATCTTTCAACGATTTGGGCGCTGTTGCTGATTCACATGCGATTTATTTTGTTTTATATTTTAGCAAGGAGCCACTATGGTTGGGATGCATATTCCAGGTATTTTTCAAAAATACTGATACATATCCGCCCTCTAATAATTAAATGATTAAGTAATTGATACCTCGCAATGTCCATCGCTTGGGCGGTTTCGTTCCCCGGTGCGGACGCCCAGCCCCTGAAAAAATTCATAATTATTAATTAATTAATTACTAATTACTGTTAATTAGTTAATTACTAATTATTTCGTAATCATTAATTACTAATTACTGTTAATTAACTAATTACTAATTATTTTGTAATTATTAATTGCTAATTACTGATAATTAATTAATTATCAATTTACATTTCATCCATCCACAATTTTTGTCCGCCTTTGTGGGCGATAATATTCAAGGTGTCTCTCCGATTGGTGTAAACCCGGGGAACGTCCCAATACCCGTGCACGTTGATCTTGGTCAGCAAGTCTTGGACCGCAACCTCAGGGGTGGAAAAGTAATTCGCCGTTGCGATTGCGGTGTTGATCTGGGCAATAAATTTAGTAATTAATTATATATCATTACTAATTATGGTCGAAATAAATTCTGTAATTAACTAATTATTTAGCATTACTAATTAATTATTTTCATTTTCTTTCATTCATGTGACTGATTATGATAGAGAATGATGGTGAATGAAAATGAATTTCCAGTGATTTGAATGAAAATGAGTGAAAGATTCCGTCATTTCAGATGAATGACTGAGAATGAAGGATTTTTCACTCCTATAATTTTTCACCCTATGCTTAATACATTGGGCGAAGTAAGAATTGAAGTCAGATGAAGTGATAAGAAATGATTTTAAACGAAAATGAGACTAAATGTGAATGAAAACCGTCAGTCAGTAATCGGAATGACTTAACTTTGAATGAAAAAAGTTTTTTTTGAACAGGTATGATCATAATCAACATGAATGAAGGTGAACGGGTATGCTTTCGCCCATGTTATTACCTGAGTCTCATCTGCCCCCGTGAGCGTGACGTAATCCATCCCCTTCGCTCGGAAGGTGGCGTCCATTTCCCGCAGGACCTCGGCCATCGTGTCCATCTTCATATTGCAACCCTCCTGACTCGCATCCCGCCCGAACCAGGATCCGATCCCGGGCCACAAACCAAACGGCTCGTTGAACGGGGCGTAATACTCGAACGTTATGTTCCACTCGGTCCGAAAATGTTGAATCACGTCGGTCACGTAATTCGCAAAAGCGTTCGCTTTTTCAGGGTCGAGATTATCGTGGAGTGGGAATCGTAAATAATTCCCTTTCGAGCAACCACTCACCGTCATCCTGAAATTATTTAAATTTTACAATGGTGTCATTTATGAGGAAATTTTGATTTTTCTGGAAATTTTAATGTTTAGCGAATTTTGAATTTTTATTTAAAAATTTAATTTTGAAAATTTAATTGCCAATATAATTTTATTTTATGAGATTTTGCCGAACTTTGATTTTTTGGTGGAATGTTCATTTAAATTTACACTTTTGGTTAAATTGATTTTTTTTTAATTACATAAAATCTGAATTTTTGTTGAATGTGATTTTCTTCCGAATTTGAATATTTTGTCAAAATTTAAATTTCTATTAAAAGAATGTTTTCCAAAATTTGACTTTTTAAATGAGATTTTAATGTTTTTCGAAAGTCAAATTTTTTCTGAAATTTAAATTTTGCTCTAAATTTTGATTTTTTATGAGATTTTGCCAAAGTTTGATTTTTTGGTGGAATGTTCATTTAAATTTACACTTTTGGTTAAATTGATTTTTTTAATTACATAAAATGTGAATTTTTGTCTGAATTTGAATTTTTGTTGGATTTGATTTTTCTTCCGAATATTTTATCAAAATTTAAATTTCTATTAAAAGAATGTTTTCCAAAATATTTGTTGCTTATGAGATTTTAATGTTTTTCGAAAGTCGAATTTTTTCTGAAATTTTAATTTTGCTCTAAATTTTGATTTTTTTGTGAAATTCAAATTTTTATTTGTCCTCACCATTGCGGTGGCGAGTTGGAGAACGCTTCCAAAATATTGGCCCCCATTTCGATCGATTTTTTCAATACGGCAATTTGTCGAGGATCACGCGTCCCTGGATGTGAAATTAACATTTGTTTGTTACTTTAATTTTATCATGGTAATTGATTAATTAGTTAATTATTCAATTAATTGGTTAATTATTCAATTAATTGGTTAATTATTCAATTAATTGGTTAATTATTCAATTAATTTATTAATTATTTAATTAATTAACCTACAATTATAATTTTCTCCAAGCCCATCTCTAAAGGTTTCAGAATTTGCGCCAGGTCGATAAGCCCCGCACGGATAAGGTGTCACATATTCCGGCGTGGTCCCTCCGATAACGTACCGAACAATGTTCAAATTTAGTTTTTCCGGCTAATTTTTAAATTGAAAGATACCTAATTAGTTAAATAAATAATTGAATTTGAAATAAAATTTTGAATACATAATAAATTTCGAATATGTGTGAAAATTTGAATACTGAAGTTTAATTTTTCAAGCTATTTTCTCAATCAAAATTTAATTTACTTTCAATAATAATTGAATTTTAAATAAAATTTTGAAAATATAATGTTTGTAATAATCTAAATAGATAGTTAAATATGGTAATTAATTACGTAATTTTCTAAATTAGAATTTAACAATAAATACTCGAATTTACAATAAAATTTTGATTATATGACTTTTTAAAATTATAAATTAATAATAAATACTCTAATTTGAAGGAAAATTTGTAAAAAAATTTGAAATATAATTCTAAATATATAACTTTTACAATAGAATTTAAAAATACTGGAATTTGAAATAAAAATTTGGGAAAAAACTTCGAATAAAATTTTGAATATATCAATTTCAAAAATTTTTAATAATCCAAAATATGCAAATTAATTAAGTACTCACGTTAAACAAGGCGTCCATAACGTAGTCAAAGACGTCAGCCTGCATTCCGCCGAGCATGTCGGCCCACCAGGCGAGCGACGTGCCCCAACCTTCCCATTCCTCCACCAGGACCACGCTCGGCTCGACGAAGTACTCCTCCCCCAGCGGAAATCCCCCCGGGGTAAAAATTAAGCCCCCCAGCACGACGAGGAGAAAAATCCCAATTTTTTTGTCCATAATTCCCAATTCGTAAAGATCTGCCGAGGAATTAGTCAACCTAGCACTGAACTCAAGTCAAGTTTTTGCTATTTAATCGCTTATCGTCAGAAATATGGTGTCATTGGGGTGTTATCGATCGATCGTGATAAGTGCTTGTGTCCATCTTATCAGAACTAATTGATTTCTTTTAATACATACATATGTGTCAATCGTGCCCCAACCTTCCCATTTCTCGATAAGGACGACGCTCGGGCTCGACGAAGTCCACGCTCCCCGGGACGAAAATTAGGCCCCCAGAACGACGAGAAAAATCAAAATTTTCTTTTTGTCCATGATTAAGAATATATGCACCTTAATTGTGAATATCTCCCGAAGAATTAGTCAGCCTTGCAATGAACTCAAGTTCGGCATTTAAGTATTCACTTATCAGTACAAATATGGTGTCATTGAGGTGTTATCGATCGTGATAAGTGCAGAGTCCATCTTCTCAGCAGAACTAATTGATTTCTTTGCGCTCAGTACATACAGCTTATCAGAGTTGATGGAGTGCATTAATTGATTTCCTTGTGTAAAACTAAAGTCCAATAAGGCGTCACGGTCACTCTCAACTTGATAACAAGATTTTATCTCTATTAAATTGCAAAGTTTCCAATTTTTTTTGTATGAATATTACATTTTTACCCCATAAATAAATAGATTTCCGTAATTCTAAAATACTCTGATTTCTGGATAATAAATTATAAAATATCACAACCTATCATTCAAAAGTTTTGAATCAAAACTGGCTAAAACATTTTTTAAAAAGTAGAGTTAAAAAAATTATAATTATCGCTATTAAATTAGTAAAAATCCAAATACATAAGTTAATCAAAATTCATGAATATTAAATTTTCCTTTTCCTCCAGTGATTTCAAAAATTATGGAATCCTTAGATTTCTGACATATAAATCAACCAATCAAAAACCTCTTATTAATTTTTTTTAAATCAAAATTTTCATGAAAAACTAATAAATTTGCGGAATTAATATTTCATTTTATTCACCCGATAACCATTTAAATTTACATTTTGCATACCCATTAACATGAATGTCAAGTATTGCATGCAATTAATTAACCAGGTACAAATACAATAAATTTGCAAAACAATTGCGATAACTAAATAAGTTGGGTATGCATACATACATACATACATTACAAATCAAGGTTAGTGATGAATAGATGTATGTACAATTATTTATATACATATTATGCAAATTATCTGTACCACCACCACCCGCCGGTCATAAGATAAGGAGGAGGATGATTTAAACTGTTAAATGTTATAATTTAATGTACATGTGGCCCATACATATGTTATCATTCCTCGCAAATTATGTTACAACTATGTTACACAATTTGCAAAAAATTTTGCACAAACACATACATACACACAATCCTATGTATGTATTTATTATTCAATTGTATACTCCTCCTCACCTGGTTGAGTGGCAGTTCTTTATAAAAAAAATTGAAAAATAGTTAAAAATTTTGACGGTTCTTCATAAAAAATATTTAACATAAAAATGGATCTCAAACCGTTACAAATGGACCCCTTAGAAATCAAGCCGTTCGTCCAAGTTGGCGAGGCAGACGTGCCAAAATTATTACCAATTCTGCAAAAAAGATTGCCATACTCGGTCTTTGTAAGCGAAAAAATTGTCACTTTTTATGTACAATTTCAAAATTATGGCAAACTTTGAACCACAAATTGCTACCGAATTAATTAATTTCTTAAATATTTTGTAACAATTTAGGCATACAATTCGGTCTTGATGTATCCCCGATTCCGGGACCGGATGTCGTTCTACACACTGCACGGAGAAATTACTGAAACCACGTGGATCGTTTCGGTCGTCGTGGCCGAAGTAAATACTTTTCATAATTAATATACCTGTGCATATGTAAAATTATATTTAAGCTTAAATTCTCAGCTTTTATTAGGAAATTTAAAGTTTAAAACGCTCGTAGATTCGAAATTTTAGGAAAACTGTGATTTCACAGCTTGGAAGAAATTCATTTTCAGAACTGTGAATCAAGCTACAGCTTTTCAATTTTACAGCTTTCAGAATAGTTCAGAATTTGTTATTTTGGTTTCTCGGACGTTTCAGCTCTAAAAACTTTACAAGAAGTAAAGCTTTCGTCCCGACAAAGTTACATACTTTTTTATGATTTTGCAGAATTATTTTGCACAATTTTCATAAAATATTATGATTGTCAAGTTAAAATGACATTAGACATATGTACATATTTTTACCTTGATTTTTCACCTTTGTTTTCCAACCTTGGTTTACATTACAGTCATATTGGTTATAACCTTTCTACCCAAAAAGTCCTGTTTTGATAAAAATCGAGCGTGCACGCGTTCTTCCCAACTTTTGCACGAAATTTTAAACTTTGTCCTAGAGATGCGAAATTTGGCATGCACATGCACCAGCATATGCTACATCATAATATAACATCAATTCCCGTTCCGTTCGCTATAAATTTTTCAGGAAAAATCAAAAACCAAATGTCACCCGTATTCAATTTGGTTTTTGATTTTTCCTGAAAAATTTATAGCGAACGAACGGGAATTGATGTTATACTATGATGTAGCATATGTTGGTGCATGTGCATGCCAAATTTCGCATCTCTAGGACAAAGTTTAAAATTTCGTGCAAAAGTTGGGAAGAGCGCGTGCACGCTCGATTCCTATCAAAACAGGACTTTTTGGGCAGAAAGGTTATAACCAATATGACTGTAATTTTGCAACTTTCAGGACTACGGTTTGGACTACACGATTTCCGCCTGTCAAGAAAAGTTATCTCGGGACGAGGCCATCCAAATCTTGAGCGATTGTCCCCTCTTCAAGTGGGGGGAACCGCATCTGATCACCCCGCTGGAGGCGTGGTTGACGTCGATCGTGTTCGAGGTCAGCGTTAACAAAAAAGGCAACGTGGTAGAATTCCACCCAGCCAGAATTTTCTGGATGGATGTCCAGGACGCTGAGAACATCGAAATTTTGGGGTATTCAAAATTATATCGTTTTTACATGAAAATTTTCCGACAGTTTATCCATAAAATGGATGTATGTAAATTAGTGCATACATTTTATTAGCTGATTTTAAGACATTTTCTGCAGAAAATTTTATGCAGCGTGTTTCATATGTTGAAAAATTTATGCAAATAATTTTAGTTTTATGTCGCAAATTACCTTATTTCAGTGCAACCCAGCTTATGCATAAATTTTTAAACAGAAGTATTCATGCATAAATTGTTTGTCGCAAATTTACTTTTTTAATCAAGCCGAATTCATGCATAAATATTTATGCAGAGCATTTTATGCCCGAAAGTTCAAGCGGGCAGTTTTATGATGAAAAAAATCAATGACTTTTATCTCAGCTCAGTTTATGCAGAAATTTTTAGGCAGATAAATTCATGCATACAGGTTTATGCCACAAATTCTCTGCTTTAAATTATGCCCATATTTTTATCCAGGGTATTTTATGCAGAAAAATCCATGCATATACATAAAAAAATTGGGATTTTCATGAAAAATCATGTAACTGACTATGAATTTAGGCCAAGTCTCTGCATAAATTTGTATGCAGGGTATCTCGTGCATAAAAATTTTTGCATACAGATTTATCCTCCAAATTATTTATGCCAAATCCCTTATCACGAATTTATATTCTTCCACAGACCGGAAGACGAGCCTTCCCTCCGCATTCAGTCATTAGACGTTGACAAAGGCGTCGCTTTTATGACTTCCACCTGGAAATTCGCCAAGCCCGGGACGGCTGTAAACATGACCCGAAATATTTCCAGAAATGAGTCCGGCGCCGTTTACATCGGTGGAGAACCCGTTTGCGCCACAATGACGATGGCCTTCGGAATGGTGTCGGCCCTCCACACTTTACCCGAACATAGGCAAAAGGGTTATGCAAATTTAGCCATGAAATTTGTGTTTAAAGAGCTTGCAAAAAATGGCATCATCCCAGCCACCGGGGTCGACATAAAGAACGCCGGGTCCATCGCGTTCCATCAAAAATTAGGGTGCAAAATGACCCAAGGACTCGTTCATTATGTGATTTGTCATCAGAGCGAATTTTGACACATTGCGAAATAATTTTGGAAGAAAAATGTAACAAAATTTAATACAAAATTTCCAAAATTTTAGATCTAGAATTCGCGCAAGTGTTTTTGAAACTGAAATAAATTAAAAAATCTATTTGTTCTTCTACCATAAATGAATTATTGCGAAATTCCTTCACCAAAAAAATAGCACATCAATAAAAATTGTCAAAATTAGCGCATTTTTAAATTATTTCTCGCCTCTGGGAATTTACATATTTTAAAATTCTGACGACAAATTTCTACCCAGTGAGTTGATTAGTAAAATAGCGATGAGTTCTGATTTTGCCCGAACATAGACAAAAGGAAGTATGCAAATCTAGCCATGAAATTTGTGTTTAAAGAGCTTGCAAAAAATGGCATCATCCCAGCCACCGGGGTCGACATAAAGAACGCGGGGTCCATCGCGTTCCATCAAAAATTAGGGTGCAAAATGACCCAAGGACTTGTTCATTACGTGATTTGTCATCAAAGCGAATTTTGACATGTTGCGAAATAATTTCAGAATAAAAATGTAAAACAAATTAATACAAAATTTCTAAAATTTCTAAAATTTTAGATCTAGAATTCGCGCAAGTGTTTTTGTAACTGAAATAAATTAAAAAATCGATTTGTTCTTCTACCATAAATTAATTATTGCGAAATTCCTTCACCAAAAAAATACTCGATGGCACATCAATACATAAAAATTGTAGAAATTAGCACATTTTTCAATTATTTCTCGCCTCTGGGAATTTACATATTTTAAAATTCGGACGACAAATTTGAGTTGATTAATAAAATAGTGATGAGTTCCAACTTTGCCAAAAATTTACACAATAGGATTATGAAAATTTAGCCATGAAATTCGTGTTTAAAGAGCTTGCAAAAAATGGCATTATTCCAGCCACCGGGGTCTACATAAAGAACGCCGGGTCAATCGCGTTCCATCAAAAATTAGGCTGCAAAATGACCCACGGACTTGTTCATTATGTGATTTGTCATCAGAGCGAATTTTAACCAGGTGCTTAAATATCGCGAAATAATTTCGCAATAAAATATTACTCAAAATTCGCACAAGCGCACTTTATCAGTGAAAAATTAAAAGCTCCACGTATTCCATAAATTACCATAAATTAATTATTGCGAAATTCATTCACCGACGAAAATACATGATCACCAAAAATCGTAAAAAATCCGCACACTTTTAATCATTTCACGCCTCTGGGAATTTACATATTTTAAAATTCCAGACCACAAATTTGAACCAAGTGAGTTGATTACATACTAAAATAGCTATGAATTTCAATTTTTCCAGAATATAGACATTAGGGTTATGCAAATTTAGCAATGAAAATCGTGTTTAAAGAACTTGCAAAAAATGGGATCATTCCAGCCACCGGGGTCGACATAAAGAACGCCGGTTCGATCGCGTTCCATCAGAAGTTAGGTTGCAAAATGGCACAAGGACTCGTTCATTATGTTATTTGTCATCAAAGCGAATTTTGACATGTTGCGAAATAATTTCGCAATAAAACATGGATCAAATCTTGAAACCTACAATTTGCACAAGTGTTTTCATAATTAAAAACATTAAAAATTCAACTGTTCCTCTATACAATCAATTAACTATTGCAAAATTCATTCACCAACAAAAATACTCGATCAATAAAAATCGTCAAAATTAACACATTTTTATTCATTTCACGCCTTTAGGAATTTATTTTAAAATTCTGGACCACTAATTTGTAGTCAGTGAGTTGATTAGTAAAATAGCAATGAATTTCAATTTTTTCAAAATATGTACAAAAGGGTTATGCAAATCTAGCCACGTGAAATTCGTCTTTAAAGAACTTGCAAAAAACGGGATCATCCCAGCCACGTGGGGTCCATCGCGTCCCATCAAAAATTGGGGTGCGAAATCACCCAAGGACTCGTTCATTACGTGATTTGTCATCAGCCCGATGTTTAACAGGGTTGTTAAATTTTGCCAAAAAATTATTTCGCAATAAATGATTAAACAAGGATCAAAATTTACTACTGTCTTGCCCAAAACTAACATCTAGAATTAATACAATTTATTTTAACATGTAATAAAAATCACGTTCGACTTTTTACTGTGACATGAAATAATTATTGCGAAATTCATCACGATTTAATGTGGCATAGATTTTAAATCTCAGACCACCGCACTTCAATATCTTTACCATACCTGTTCACTTTCATTCATGTGACTGATTATGATAGAGACTGATAATGAATGAAAATGAATTTCCTGTCATTTGAATGAAACTGAGTGAAAGATTCCGTCATTTCAGATGAATGACTGTGAATGAAAGATTTCTCACTCATTTCATTTTTCACCCTATGCTAAATAATGGGACGAAGTAAGAAATGAAGTCAGATGAAGTGAAATGACATGAATTTGAAAGAAAATGACTGAATGTGAATGAAAATCTTGAGTCAGAAATCGGAATGACTTAACTTTGAATGAAAAAAGTGTTTTTGAACAGATAATAATAATAATAATAATAATAATATTTTATTATACTGATTTATATGAGCATGAGATACAGGTAAAAATGATTAAGACTAAAAATGGTGACTCTAGCTTAACATTAGACTACAAATAAGCAACATGTCATTTTTCAACAGTTTTCATCCTACCCATACCTGTTCAAAAAAATTTATTTCATTCAAAGTTCAGTCATCCTCATTTCTGACTAAAGATTTTCATTCACACTCAATCATTTTCTTTCAAACTCATGTCATTTCACTTCATCCGACTTCATTCCTTACTTCGCCCCATATATTATGCATAGACTGAAAAATGAAATGAGTGAAAAATCCTTTCATTCACTGGCATTCATCTGAAATGACGGAATCTTTCACTCATTTTCATTCAAATGGCAGTAGTTTCATTTTCATTCACTATCATAATCAATAAAATGAATGAAAGTGAACAGGTATGCCGTCAGCATAGGCAAAATTTTTAAGACTTGCAGTGGCGTAGTTTCTCAGAAGTTCAATCCTGCATGGATGGAGAGTAACTCCTTAATTAATTAATTTTTTAGCTAAAAATTCTTGAAAACTTGATAATTAGGGAATTAATTAAGTAACTCTAAGTAATTAATCAATTAATTAACTCCTTAATTAATTAATTTTTTAGCACGGCCTCACAAACAGCCACCTCTTCAATCCGGTCGATTGTGCCGTCAACCTCAACGTGAAGAACTTGTTCATCAACAACCTCCAAATTTTCGAATTTAATCCGCAACCCACCCATCCCAACACGGACCCAGACTGGATTTGGAAACCTCTCTCCAATTTTACCAAATTGTTCCCGAACGTGGAAAATTTCGCGGTTAAGTTGACCGTTCCGTTCAAGTTGGATGTGGTGTTCGGAATTGCGGAACAGTGGAAGAATTTGGAGGAGCTGGCCGTGTCAAAAAAGATGTTTAGATGTCCTGAAATTCTGACCGCGTTGAACAGAATGAGTTTCGTGAATCGTATGTAATTCAGTATTTTTATTCATGATTTTATTCATTCATTCGTAATTTATGTAGCATTCGTAATTTTATTCGTAATTTTATTCCAAGTTTATAACATACCTGTTCACAAATTTAGTATTCATTCAAAAGTCAGTCATCCCGATTTTTGACGGAAGATTTTCATTCACATTCAGTCATTTTCGTTCAAATTCATTTCATTTCACTTCATCTGATTTCATTTCTTACTTCGCCCCATGTATTAAGCATAGGGTGAAAAATGAATGGAGTGAAAAATCCTTCATTCACAGTCATTCGTATGAAATGACGGAATCCTTCAGTCATTTTCATTAAAATGAGGGAAATTTCATTTTCATTCACTTTCATTTACCATCATATTCAGTTAAATGAATGGCAGTGAACAGGTATGGTTCACAGGTCAATTCATAATTTCTTCATTTTTAAATGTGCTTGTAATTTCAGACTTTTTTTCATAATTTATCATTCGTATTTTTCTTGCGTAATATTATTCGAAATTTCTTTCCCATAATTTTATTTGTATTTATTCCCAATTTAATTTCACACTCAAAATATTGTTCACAATTTTACTCAGAATTTGCCCTTCTCAAATTTAATTCCCGAATTTTCACCAAATTTTCAAAATTTTTGCTTTTAGGTATCCGCCGCCTGACGCTTGACTTGAACTCTCCCGCCAACGGGTACACCGAGCGCCGTGAGTTTGATATGTATGAACGCTGGAACGATACGGTTCTCTTTCCCTCCGTTCTTGCGGCCGGGTCTCGGCTCCAGTCCTTCAAGCTGAGTGGTTTCGAAAAGGTCAGTTTTTTTAAGAAATTTTAGAAAAATATGGTACACAATTTAAGAACTGAAATGTGTCAAACGTTTTTTTGAAATTAAAATGCGATGACGCCAGCGGTCTCGCTCCGATTTTGACAAAACCACGATAATTATGAAGCCTACGATAAATAATTAAACACGTGTTTTGGAATTTTTCATAATGAAATGAAATGAATATTCATAATGAATGTTTAAACGAGATTATGATGGAATCCGTAAGCGAGAATTCGCATTTTCTCCCTCGCGACAAAAATTACGAGAAAAATGGAAATTCTCGATCACGGATTCATAATTTCGTTTAAACCGACCATTATGAAAAATCCCGAAATATGTGTTTGATTATTTATCTATGGCTTCATAATTTGCATGGTTTCGTCAAAATTGGACGGCTAACGTTATTGCATTATTAGTAACTCCTTGCCCCAAATACTGTAAGAAAGCGTTTTTTTGCAGGTGAATATTTTGACCTGGGAGAAATGCAAGGCGCAAGCAACTGCGCACCGCCGCTGTAAATACTTCATACGGCGCGTATGGCGCAGATTTCCGCAATAAATTGGTCCATCGATGGACCATCTGTTCAAAAATTTAGTTTTCACTCAAAAGTCAGTCATTTCGGATTCACATTCAGTCATTTTTCTTCAAATTGATTTCATTTCACTTCATCTGACTTCATTTCTTACTTCGCCCAATGTATTAAGCATAGGGTGAAAAATGAAATGAGTTAGAAATCATTTCATTCACAGTCATTCATCTGAAATGACGGAATCCTTTAATCATTTTCATTCAAATGGCATAAATTTCATTTTCATTCACTGTCATAATCAGTCAAGTGAATGAAAGTGGACCAATTTTTAAGTGGTCCATGGTCCATGATGGATGCTATGTTTCCCCTAAAATTCGAATTTCAAAGCAAAATTTCCTTAATTTATTCCAGTTCCTCGAGCCCGACCCGTACCAATCGCGAGGCATCAATGTCACCCACATTTTTTTGGCGAGGGAGGCGCCCGACTTGGGAAACGTGTCGCTGGCTCAATCCAACTTCCAGGAACTCTTCCAGACAGGAGCCACGGTATCGAAGAGGCTCAAAATTACATTTTGAAATCCTACCAAATTTGAAATAAGTATAAATTTCCGAAATTATTTTATTTTCTATCGAAATTTTATTATTGACGGGTGAATGTAAAGAAAATAATAAAACAATATAGCGATCATCAGGCTTGGGTAAGATACTTTGTTTTAAGATACAAGATACTAGATAAAGATACTTTATTCTCTGTTTTTTCCAAGATACTTAGATACTAAGTATAAATAAATTAAAAAAAATAAAACTAAGGCGAGAGGCTCTGTTACAAACACGAAACAAGCCCTCCCACCAACACCCCCGTCTCGCCGTGGCCCAATTAATATTTTTATATCTGGGGGGTGTAACCACACTTTTATTTTTTGTAATTCTTTCCTGCATCATACAAAACGATTTAAAAAACACCTATAATAGGGTATACATAGTCCGACCATAAGTTCCCGTGAATGCATTTCCGGTGATAAAGCCCAAAGTATTAGAGCTATCTGATAGAAATTTTTGTGGATGAACAAGGTATTAATCTTGTTTAGAAATCATAACTTCGTTTTCACAATTTCCTCCACGGGCTTGTACACAAGACATAAGTCGTGGCGAAAACTGCTCGATCGCGGCACGCACGGATTTCCTGGGAAAAGCGCCAGATCTTCAGTAAGTGCGACCTCAGCCCTTCCACACTTGGGTGAAATTTAGAGCATACTTGTACCTATAATTTTCACCACCAGTCATAATTTAGGGGATTAAGGTCTGCAGATACTGAGCACCGTTCTACGGATGAAAAAAAGTCATGAAAATTCGTCTGAAGCCAGTTTTGGACAATTTTGCACCTTGCGCAGGAACAGGGTCTTGTTGAAAGGTCCAATGTCGATTTTCGGAGGGTCCAGGGTTCAGGTTATTAACGTTTGGCTTTAGGACACTCTGAAAATAATTCTTGGCTTCAACTTGTACCCTTTGCGGTAAAAAACAGAGATTTCATTTCTCCAGCCAACTTGCTCCCATGCACACCACGGTGATGGCTTCGTATTGACTTCCGCATACTTAAACGGATGTCAGACTTCTGTACAACAAATATCTGGCCTTTTTTCTATTAAATTTTTTGCCAACGGTGAAAAGTCTGAAATACTTTTTGCACGAAAATTGGCGCGTACCACGATCAACCTGTGGCCGTCACGAGTTATGTCTTGTCTAATTGCCCGTGGACGAAATCTTGACAAAGAAGTTATGATTTCTAAACAATATTAATACCTTGTTAATCCATAAAAGTTTCGAACAGATAGCTCTAATACTTTGGGATTTATTACCGGAAATGCATTCACGAGAACTTATGACCCCACTATGTATATGCCACCATGGGTGCATGCATTTTTGTGATGTCATAAAATTGTCACACAAATGTCGGAAATCAAACTACAAAATCTGCTAGCTCAATTCTGAAATTTCTGAATGCAGAATGTATTTAATCATATGATTGCCTACGTTAAAAGTTGGTTTTAAGAAGTAAGTATTTCATTTTTCTACGACGGTTGATGAACCGGGTATATTCCAAACTTTTCAGTTACAATACGGATAGATTTGAAACTTTAGGATCTTGGTTAAGGTATAGGTTTTCTTTAATCAAACATCTTTAATTAAAAAATGTTTTTATACATATTTTATCAAACATTTTACATACGTGTTTCGGGGTTTTTAAGAATATATTTATCAGGACTCCCACGGGCTGGGGTCCGCGAGCTGGAGTTTTCCGCACACCTTATTCCATTACGAGCCATTACAAATTTATCTACCAAATTTCAGCTCGATTTGATGAATTTGAAAAATCAGTATGGGTCGCTCAAGAATGTTTTAAATTTCAATTCATATTCTTCTATTAGTTGAAACTAGCAATCCCCACACCAAATTTCAGCTTGATTGGATGAATTTTAAAAATCTGTATGTATCACCCCTTCGGGTCCTTCCAGATGAAAATTATTACAATTTTACTTTATATTAGAAACCATTATCAACCTCTATGTCAAATTTCAGCTTTCTAACACAATTTTGAAATTTTGGTGCCTAATACCCCACCCATTTATATGACCCCTACCGGTCCAAAACTTTTCTGATCGAACCCATCTTCGAACTAGGTCGTTACATTGCCCAGACACATGTTTGTACCAAGTTTGGTCAAAATTGGTCAACGGTTGAGAGAGTTATCGAAAGACAGACGGACGTGACGATTATATAAGCCCTGCCTCGGGCTATCATTTACACATCATTTACATGTGAATAATTTCTTTACCTAAGTTTCTATGCATGTAACAACTGAATTTTAAAAATTTCAAACCTCCATAACTTCGTCATTTTACATCCGATTTTCATGACCCTAAAGAATTATCTTAATAATTTTTTAAGCCCTTTCGATTCCCCTTTGCCGATTTTTCACTTTCAGCGGAATATTTTGAGATACAGAAAAAAAAGTCACTAAAACGAGAAATACACCATGAAGGTATGAACCGATTAAGCCCAGAGATCTATGCGCAATACTACACAGAATTTACTACCCATTGGTCAAAACCGCATGTCTCTACGACTTATGGTTCTCTCACAATCTTGTTTGACTGTTTTGAGGTGTCCACTTAACTGCATACTATGGCTTCGCCGTAACCATGCACGTATTTTTTTGGGTGCATTGTTACGTTTGGGTCTCGCCTTAGAAAAAGATACTTTTTAGTATTTGTATACAAGATAAGATAAAGTATCTTAAATATTCCACATAAGATACAAGATACTTTTGATTTTTTTAGATTAAAAAAATAAAATTTCATATTTTTTGCTATTTGGGCATCGTTAGTAAGATGAAAGTCTTACTTTTGAGTAGTTAGGCATTGAAAAATACCTTCCTATGGCAAAAATAAAACGCATATTTTCTTAAAAATTACAATTACTACCTCATAAATCATAAGAAAAGCGAACTTTAGATGTCGCGGGTAACATATTTTGCAAAAAGTATCTTGTTTGTATCTTAAAAAGTATCTTAGATACTTTCCTCTTGATGGAAAATATCAGATACAAGATACAAATACAAGATACTCATTGAGGATTTTCCAGATACAAGATACAAGATACTTTGAGCTGAGGCGGCTGGAAGATACAAGATACTACTCGTATCTTGTATCTAGTATCTTGTATCTTAAAGTATCTATCTTGCTCAAGCCTGGCGATCATCAAATTTATGAAATACTTGTGACGATAAATTTCCGAAATTTTATTTTCTCTCAAAATATCTATGATTCATTGGTGAATGCAAGGAAAAATGAAAATAATAAAATGATAGGGATCATCAAATTTTTCAAATTTCGAATTTTATTTGTAACAAAATTTCCCCCAAATTAATATTCAGATTGGTTGAGCTAATTAAATTAGATACTTGTTATTATTGGCAACTTGACATATTCTCCGGCAGAAAGTGTCAAAATTTTTAATCATGTATGAAAACTGGTTTTCAAAATAAAGTCTTGAAATGTTGACCAATTTTAATTTATTCAAGTTTAAAAAATTCTGAGGTATATAAATGCATACATCAAATTACAAAAAAGTGCCCCACATAAAAATCCTATAATTTTCCACGAAATTAATATTCTCATTTAAAGTTTTAACTTTTTTTAAATGTTACACATTAATTTCACGCACTTACATTATTTAAATTATCCATTATCCACAACTGTGTACCTGATCGATATGCTTACAAGTTATATTATTGACAATTGTTACACGACTTCTGTGACAAGAATGGCTCTCGAACCTAAAATCAATTAGTTGAATTATCTGCATAATTTAAAACGGTTGAAAACTCCCAATGGAACCTTTTTTCAAGCTACACCCGGATCGAATAGCGAGTTATGCCAAAAAATCCAGCCAAAAATTAGGAGTCACGTGACACTTCTCTTTCCGTTGAATGGCCCCTTTTTGTAGAAAAATATTCGGGGTAAAAGTCCAATATTTGAGCAAATTTTTTCTTGCTTTTTCCTCCACGTGGCGAAAACCAGGCAAGACTGCAACTTTGACCTCCAATATTTTTCTTCAAAAGGGCCATTCAACGGAAAGATAAGTGTCACGTGACTCCTAATTTTTGGCTTGATTTTTTGACATAACTCGCTATTCGATCCCGGTCTAGCTTGAAAAAAGGTTCCATTGGGAATATAGTTTCATTTTGCAGGATAAGGATTGGATTATTTATGCCGGATGCAACTTCTTCACATGTGCTGCAAGGTTTCTTTTCAGTGTGAATGATTTATCACAGTGGGGGCAGGGATGCATCATTTTGAAATGAACGCTGCTCAAATGTAGCCTCATGTGACTCTTGGCCCCGAACTTCTTGGGGCACCGGGGGCAATCGATGTGCTTCAGCTGCTCGTGCACAATTTTTTTGTGGGTGACCAGATTTCCTTTTTTAGCAAAAGTTCTGTCACATTCCGAGCACTGGAAGGGTTTCGGGTTGTCCGTGTGGCTGCGCTTGTGCAGGGTTAAGGTAACCTGATAAGCGAACACCTTATCACACTGGTCGTGGTCGCAGTGAAATGCTTTCTCCTTCGTGTGGGTGATCAGGTGACGATAATAGGAAGACTGGTGGGCAAACCTCTCCTGGCAAAAGAAGCACTCGTGTCGCCAAGTCTGTTTCGCCAGGGTCTTTTCTTCTTCGGTGAGATGAGTGAAGTGGTGCAGGGTCAGGGCTGATGTGCAGGGGAACGCTTCTCCACAAATGTGACAGGAATGGTGGCGTTTGGGTTTGGAAGGCTGGATGGATAAGGAAGATATAATTAGGTCTTTAATTAGTACCTCTTGACGTTGGTTAATTGGTTAATTAGACATAATTCGTAATCTCAATGTTAAGTTTTTTTTACGCAATAGTAAATAAAACTTGTTAAATATTCCAAATCTTGCAATGGAGGTCTCCCAACGTATGCTCACAGATTTGGACCAAACTAGCGACAACCGATCACAAATATTATTAGGATGAAATTTGCAAATGGAACTATCTCCCAATGCTCAAGTTTAGTGGAGATATTTGCATAAAAAGAGGAGAAAATGCACCCCCAAGACAGGCAAATTTTTAATTTTCCAAATATGCTCCGCAGATTTCCCGCTTAGGATGTAAATATCTCCGCTAAACCTGCGCATTGGCAGATATAGAATTATATCTGTGATCGACTGACGCTAGTTTGGTCCAAATCGGCGAGCATACGTTGGGAGACCTCCATTGTTAGAATGGAGGAGGACTCCCAGCGTATTCCTCTCGGCTCTTCGATCATGAGCAAATTAGTGTCAATCGATGGTAAATTTAATTAGGATGAAATTAGCAAAAGACACGATCTCCCAATGGGCACGTTTAGCAGAGATATTTGCCTTCGAAGAGGAGAAAAGTCGAATCAATCGATGACAAATTTAATTAGTACGAAACTTGCGAAAGACGCGACTTGACGGATATATTTGCATCCGAAGAGGCACCCTAATTTAGGGTCCCTAAGGTTGAAAAATTTTACACTCTCCAAATTTAAGGTGCGTTTTCTCTTCTTCGGATGCAAACATCTCATTGGGGTTGGTGTAAAGTTTGTAAATTTCATACCAATTAAATTTTTAATCGATTGCCACTAATTTGGTTACAATCGGAGAACACCGGATTAAATTTGTAAGAAAATGTTACCATCTTCCTGCCCGAGGTGGACTTGGGGGTGGTGGAGGGTCTCTGATTCGGGCTGGATTTTTTCCGGTTTGCAAATTGGCTTGATGCTGACCTTGGCGGAGTGACGGCGGGCGATGGTTGTGGACTCAGCGGTCTTGGTGTGGCTGGAGGTTCCATTTCCGGAATTGTCGACCTTTCCTCCTCTTCTTCTTGGTCAACAAGTATTTCTGCCACTGGAGTGAGAGGCAATGGTGGTGGAGTTGGCGTTTCCGGAATTGGCGACCTTTCCTCGTCCAGAACGAAGTCAAGCATTATTTCCGGCGCTGCTGCTGCTGTTTTTCCTACTTTATTATTCCGCCTCATCGGAGATAGATAGATATCGGGATATCCTCGACGTCTCTTATCGTCCAGAACGTAGATAACGTCGTCCAACGCGTTATCAAGGGTCTTCAAGAAACGGCCAATCCGAGACGACTCTTCCGAAATCTGCGCAAAATGATAACCAGCCAAAAATGAGTCAAGCAGCTTAAAAAATACGGAATATGTAAATTTAACGCGAAACAGTAATAAAATCTCACCGCTGTGGTATTTGGTACAAAGATTTTTCTCTTTATTTGCACCCAGTGTCGAACCTTCTTCAGTGTGTCGACCATTTTCTACAAAAATGATAACAATAAATATATATTGCTATAAAATTGTTACACTAATGTGAAGTATGTTTTTATTGCTACACTGTTAGAAACCTGGTATTAAATCATTACCGACCCGGGTACAAGTATGACTACAGGCACGGTAATAATAATAACGGACATTACCGTGGCGTTTAGTAATGTTGTGGCAACTAATAATACCTATCCGATAAGAAGTTATCACCAAATCAATACACGTCTAGGTCACATAATTCCTCACCATTTTCAGGGATGGGCAATCCCAACAATTTCGATGGATTACGGATTACAGATTAATTAATTTAAAAATTTACATGGGATTACTGGATTGGGATTACTTCGTTCCTGAAATAATGTGGATTACTTGTTGGATTACTGGGATAAATTAATGACGTGGATTACGGATTACGGATTACAGTAATCAGATTACGGATTATTATCTGAATTACAAAAATCAATATTTATGTATTAAGGGGTGAAGAGAAGCGAAATCCCTTTATGGAAAAGTGTTGTCCGCCGGTCTGTATCCACAATAACTTTAGAACGGTTTCGAATTTCAACATGCAGTTTTCGCCAACGGGTTTCTAATTTTTGAGGTATGGATGAGTGAGTAAATGGGAATTGTAGGTCATAAGGTCACGGCGCCACGGTGAAGACGCCACGGGTCAAACTTGTCGAATTTTTTGTTTTGGACATAGTTTCGGGCGAGGGTACAAAAATCTTCATAGTTTTGACGTGACATGACCGAGTTACCGTGTCGACGACGCCAAACTTGAAAATGTCGAGTTTTTGTCTTGATACTTTTAGACGTAGTTTTAGGCGGGAATTTCAAAAATTAAATCTAGACATAGTTTTGGCATGCCATGACCGCATGACTGTCTCACTCCACCCCTTTGCTACATTTCGTTTGCAACGGTTTATTCTGAATAGCGTCACTTAATTTCATGATGATGATTAGCTCAAAAAACAAGAGCTTTGAATGATTCATCCGACAGTCGGTTTCTTAGGGCAGACAACAATATATTGTAGTAAATAGACCCCTCTTAATTGTTCCAAAATTCTCTTTACTTTGCACCTCTGCTGAAGAATCCAGAAGGTATATGTATGTATTGGTGGGGTGACGATCCTGCAATTGTTGGACAGGACCGTCAGCTGCGCAAGCACTAAAGGCTTATTGCAGTCTCCCCGTATACACCGCTTTACTGTGCTAAGTCATGACTCTCACGATTTACAGATCTAACTTGACCTACAAACCGCCCTGATCTGATTATGAATTGAATTAGATCGGGCAGAGACATAGTCACTATTTGCTCTGGTGGCAACTCATGCCTCCCAAAGAGTTCTGACGTTAGGGCACAATACTTGTCGCAGGACCCAAGAAAATGAAATACAGTCTCAGGGCCACGGCCACATAGGCACATAGCCTCATCAACTAATCCCATTGTTCTGAGGTGCCCGTTTAAAGTACAATGCCCGGTTAAGGTTTGTGTTACTGATCGGAGATTCTTCCGATTTAGGGTTAAAAGCTTACTGCTAAGCCCCGATGAAGGGGCAGAGAGAAAAGCTTTAGAAGTTAAACAACCCTTGCTGCTTTCCCAAGATTTGGTATGCTGCAATCTTGCCCAGTTTACAATGCTGGAGATTACAGTGCTTCTGGATAGAGGAATAGAGGGCTGCGGGCCAAGGTACCCAGTAAGAGTACCATCCTTGGCCAACAGGTCAGCCACTTCATTTCCTTCAAATCCATGGTGAGAAGGGATCCAATGAAGTGTTACCTTCTTAGTCTCCCCAATATGATTAAGCATCTCAATAGCCTCAGCAGTCAGTGATGAAACTGGCCATGGGCTAGTGAGCGCTTTGATGGCACCCTGACTGTCAATGAAGAAGTCAACGGTGCTATAGTTATGAGTATTGTCGGTCAGCGTTTCAGAAGCCCTGATAATACCCATAATTTCTGCTTGGAAAACTGTGGGTGCCCATCCCAGAGGAATTGAGCACCTCACAGCTTCCTGAGCAAGATTGTTGTATGTGAAGTAGTAAGCCGCACCCGAACACTCACCCATCCGTGAACCGTCAGTAAAACAGTTCACGTCGGAGGCATTCATGGGCACGCTACCATCCTCCCAATCTTTCACCGAACAGATAGAGGTTTCGAAGTTCCTCTCTGCTGGCGGATTAACAAGTTTCTCACACGGCATCTGGAATTCATCAATACCAGACGTCATGATTTCGACAAACTTGTTGTGCTTTAACGCCCTCGTACGATCACCCCCGGCCCATTTTTTCCATTGGCCGTGGTGAGCGAGGCGATGGTACGTTCCTAGTGCAACTTGCTGAACCCGGATGTCCACTGGGACAAGTCCCAGTAGACACTCCAGGGCTGCAGTAGGAGTGCTAGACATTACACCGGTTGTACCAAGCATGGCACACCTCTGTACTCTTTGCAACTGGGCCATGTGGGACTTCACCTTTGTGGCCGGAGCCCACAAGAGTGACCCATATTCCATGGCCGGGCGAATTATGGATTTGTAGATCCAATTTGTAATTTTGGGGGAAAGACCCCAAGTTTTACCAATGGCCCTCCTGCACTGGGCCAGGGCACGCATACCTTTTAGTGCCCTAGCCCTGCACAGTGGGCCCCAGTTCAACTTGTGATCCAATAAGACCCCAAGATATCTTACCTGTTTTGATAAGGGATGGGAATACCATCCAACTTAATCACAGGAGCAATGAATTTGTAATTCTTAGTGAATAGTACCAGGGCAAGCTTATCATTGACTGACAAGCTCACCTCTTTGCACCAATCACTAACAAGATTTACTGCTCTCTGCACATGACTCCCCACTGTACCGAGGTCAATGCCCCGTCCCACTGTTGTGAGATCGTCGGCAAAGCCCTGTGAGTACAGTTGAGGGAACCGATGATGCAGTTTTTCCAGAATTTCACTTACGACCAGATCCCAGAGAAGCGGTGAGAGGACACCCCCTTGAGGGCACCCTCTCTCCACCACCCTCCCAATCTCGTAAGTAGAATCAGTTACCCAAGTGGTTCGTGTCCGAAGCATGTGCTCAATATGTCGAACACATACTTCGTTGACGCCAAACCTCCTAAGGCTACGGATAATGGTATCAGATCTAACCTCATTAAAAGCGCCCTTAACATCCAACATCACTGCAATACAGTACTCGCCAGAGTCAAGGGCCCCCTCAACAAGGCTAACGATCTGATGAAGGGCAGCCTCCGTGGAAACGCCCTTCATATAGGCATACTGACTGTGTCTCTGCAGCCTATCAACAAGATCAGGCGTGCGGACCCAGCCATCTACCAGTTTCTCAAGTGTTTTGAGCAGGAAGGATGTTAAGCAGATGGGCCTCCAAGCGGACGCCCGTTCGTAACTCTCCTTTCCTGGCTTTGGTAAGAATACCACTCTGGACTCTCTCCACTTCAGAGGTGTATAGCCAAAGGTCAGGCACCCCCTCATGAGAGGAACCAAATACGGAATTAACTCGGCTAACCCATGCTGTAAAAGGGCTGGAAAGATACCATCCTTTCCAGCCGCTTTTAGTGGGCCAAACGAGTTAATTATGTTACTGATTTTTGAAGATGTAATCATCAGATTTATAGATTCATCATCTACTTTACTATGATCAGGTTCCCATGGAACCCGTTGAGGGTCCCTCGGGAACGACTGGTCCAATAATAATTCATAGGTCTCAGAAAGGGTCCTGGTGTAAACACCATCACCCTTGTCCAGTGATCCCAGTTTGATTGTGCCATCGTTGCGAAGGATGCGCGAGAGTCGGGCAGCAACAGGTGCCTCCTCGACACTCTCACAAAACCTTCTCCACGAGGCAGTTTTCCTCCTCCTCATTTCGTAGGAGTAGTAGTTACGAGCAGCTTTGTATTCCGCCCATGCCTCCTCTCCTCCGAAGCGGGCAACCCGATAAAGCCTGCGAGCCTCCTTCCGAAGAGAAGTCAGCTCACGGCTCCACCAAGGTACCCTCTTCCTCCTGGATTTGAGTACTTTTTCAGGGCAGGCCACATCGTATGATTTATGGATAAAGTTACTGACCCTACTAGCGCTCGCCTCAATCTCCTCCGTAGATGACATTGGGCACGCCCTAGCAGGGTCAAGTTCCGTTAGTCCTTTTAATACTGATTTGTATAGATCCCACCTTGTTCTCTTCCTGTCCCTATAGATGATAGGGTCAGGTGGACCAAGGCTTAGGCTGGTCCGAATATACCTGTGGTCAGAGCAACTTTCGTTGTCGTCGACCCACCAGGCCTTTATCCGGTCCAGCAAATGGGAGGATACAAATGTAACATCTAACACTTCTTTCTTATTCGATACAACAAAGGTGGCTCTGTGTCCCCTATTAATGGGGTGCAGATCCACCTGTGCAATGTAATCCAATAGTTGTGCACCTCTGCTGTTGATATTGGTGCTACCCCACATGGTGTGGTGTGCGTTGGTATCACTCCCTATCACCAGAGGTAGACCATTGGTCTCACAGTATGAGACTAACTGACGCATTTCCTCTGGGGGGCATGCATAGTTTCTATCCATGTATACTGAGGATATCACTACCTCTCCAATACCCCCCCACTGGGTACGGATGGCTGTGACATCTCTACAGCATAAGTCAAGCAAGGGCCACACTTTGATGTCCCTACTTGTAATAATACATGATCTGCTGGAGTGGGCATCCCGACAAAAATAATGTAGGTTGCCACAACCCCCCAGACCACGTATTTTGCCTTTATACCAGTACGGTTCTTGTATTAGGCATATGTATGTCTGCAACTCTGCTAGGGTACGACATAGAGAAGTCGTACCCTTTTTTGAGTGTTGCAAGTTAATTTGCACCAAGTTCACACTTTTGGTTGTCATATTAAAAGATGACAACCCAGTTCGAAGAGATGTAGATGAGTGTGACGGTGTAATATTAGTGATGTTAGTGTTAGTCATTGTGAGTGAGGGTTATGACGCGAAGTTAATTTTGAGGGGGTGTTTCAGTTACCCGAAACACCAACTCATCAAAATAATAATTAAATTCGGAGGGTGGTTTTAAGGCCGCCACGCCAGATTTAGGAATACGACAAAAACAGACAAAACCTTGACCTGACCTTATAGAATGGGTCATCCTCCATGTGGTCGTGTCCATGCCCTGGTTGAGTCGAGAGATAGTGGGGAAGAGTACCTTGGCCAGGTTGGTGTCGCCTCCCTGACCCAAAAACTCACTTTTGCTTCCGCTTCCGGTGGTTTGGGGTCACTGGTGGCGAATTTCCCCCCTTCAAGCTTGTCCACCTCCGCTTCAGCCCACAGTTTGGTGGTGGGGTCACGGCATGTGAGAACCATGCCCCCACCCCGGATCACAAGTCCACCAAACTTGAGCAGGGTTGTCGCTGCTGCCGCATCGATGGCAGAGCGAAGTCCTACCTGGATGGCCTCTTGGTCTTTTTTAGAAAGAGGGCGGTGAGGGTCATCTTTATAAGTGATGACCACTTCACTACCCTCAATCACGACCTCCCGGTAGGTAGAGGCCCTCTTCTTCTCCCTCGGATTGTTGGAGGTTGGGGTCTCCCTGCCTCTCTTGTTGTTGGTAGTAGTGGAGGAAGAAGACCCAGCGTCGTTTTTGAGTGTGTGGGGTTAATTTCGTGAAGATTGACCCTCTTCACTCTGTCCCCCCCCTCCGAGTGGTTGGGGTAGAGGGGAAAACCCTGCTTCCAGACGCAGCGGCGCTGGTGGCAGTTGTTGCTGTAGTGGTTGGAGCCGTGATGTTGGTGGTGGTTGTGGAGGTGGCAGTGACGTCATCGTTGGATTTGGGGGCAGAAGGCACATCCCCAGCCCGCAGCTCCTTCGCGCGCCGCCTCCTCGCCCTCCTCTTCACCGTACGGTTGTTGGCACTGGTGGCGATTTGGGATGGTGGCAATGGTCCATCTCCATCGCCCCCCATCTCCATCGCCTCCCCCTGGCCTCCACTCACTGCATGAAAGTGGGGAGAAGAGGGGAGGGGAGAAGTAAGTCTCCCTCTTCGCCCTCAGGTTTGAGGATCTCCTCCTCCATCTCCTCCTCTCCTGCTGATTTCCTGGAGAGAGAGGTGAGTAAAATAATGTAGGACAGCCATCAGCCCACAAAATTAGGGCTTATGGCTGTCCATATAATTGAAATTATATAATTAATATAAATATATGGGTTGCAAAAGGGAGGAGGTCGGAGATGAGGACTTTCTCCACACATTTCGTGTGGAGAAAGTTCTCCCTCGCTCCCACTCTCCCTCCCCCACAACCCAATACTTTCCTGGGAGCAGGCACTTCCTCCCATGTCAGGGTGGGTGTAGCACACTTCACTCACCTCGACATGGTGTCCAAAATTGGTGAATTTATTTTTGTAAAATAACAAAAAAAACTGGGCAGAATTTCCAGATGCTGCTCATTTGAGCTTCGCGGTGTATCTTAATCCAGAAGGTAGTTTCAGCATTCAAGTTCAGCTAGTGACTCAGACTCTGGAGAAGTTGCAAGATGGAGCTGTCATGCGGTTGACAGGAGCAAAGTAATCCAACAAAGTAATCCGTAATCTGATTACATTTTCCAATCTCGTAAATTGGGGATTACGGATTACACATAATTCCAAGACCTAGCTAGGATTACGGACTACGGATTACTTTAAACTGTGAATTTTTCGTGGATTACTGGATTACGGATTACATTCAATGTAATCTGATTACTTAATCTGATTAAAGTAATCCTGGGATTGCCCATCCCTGACCATTTTCTTCTCCTCGACGTCGACCTCGTCCTCGTCGTCACTGCTCAAATATAACTCGAACTCTTCCTGGGGTTCAGCAGGCGAGATGACTTCGGTGCTTATCCTTGAGGTTATCGCAGCGATGACCTGATGGTTGGTATTTCCGGCGACGTGAGAAGGTCCAGGGGCGGCTTGAGCGGCCTTCTTTGACGGCATGTTTCTGCTTCCAAAATTTAAATTTTTGAAAGAATAAGGAGCAGAAATTTAAGAAATTATAGTAGATATAGTTCCTTGTTATTGGTTTCCGAAAAAACTCGAATGATTATGAGATGAAAAAGTCAAAACTGGTGGTCCAAAAAGATGTGATATCAGCGCCACCACCATTCAAGAATTAAATAAAATCTGCACGGCTGAAAATTGGGTTTTGGCGTTCAAATTTTACATTTTACATTTTTACAAAAGAAAATTGGGTTTTGGCGTTCAAATTTTACATTTTACATTTTTACAAAAGAAAATTGGGTTTTGGCGTTCAAATTTTACATTTTACATTTTTACAAAAGAAAATTGGGTTTTGGCGTTCAAATTTTACATTTTACATTTTTACAAAAGAAAATTGGGTTTTGGCGTTCAAATTTTACATTTTACATTTTTACAAAAGAAAATTCGGTTTTGGCGTTCAAATTTTACATTTCACATTTTTACAAAAGAAAATTGGGTTTTGGCGTTCAAATTTTACATTTTACATTTTTACAAAAGAAAATTGGGTTTTGGCGTTCAAATTTTACATTTTACATTTTTACAAAATATGAAAAAATTAATACATGCGTAATACCAAAAATTAAGGTTTCATTCAAAAGTCAGTCATCCAGATTTCTGACTGAAGATTTTCTTTCAAACTCATTTCATTTCACTTCATCCGACTTCATTTCTTACTTCGCCCCATGTATTAAGCATAGGGTGAAGAATGAAATGAGTGAAAAATCTTTCATTCAAAATCATTCATCTGAAATGAAAGAATCCTTCAGTCATGTTCATTCAAAACACAAGAAATTAATTTTCATTCTCTATCATAATCAGTCATATGAATGAAAGTGAACAGGTATGACCGGGTGACCCCGATTTTCTTAATTTATTTCAGCTCCTGGAACCCGACCCGTACCGACCGGAGCTCACCGAGATCACCCGCCTCTTTTTGGCGAGGGAGGCCCCCGACTTGGGACACGTATCGTTGGCGAAATTTCACTTCCAGGAGCGCTATCCGACCGGCGCCGTGTTGTCGAAAATGCTCAAAATAAAATTTTGAAATACTTGTGATGAAAAAATTTCCGAAAATTAATTTGCTGTCCAAATTTGGTGTAAAAAAAATTTATACAACAATGAAAACAAGCTGAAATAATAGTGATGAAATATATTTGTAGCAAAATTTTCAAAATTTACACAATGTTGACCTAATTGCTAACTTGCACTATAGTTAAATTAAAATTTAATTAAATTAACCAGTATTATTTTAATAAAGTACAATTTCAATTATGCATGCATAAATTTCCTCAGAATTTTATAAATTGTAAAGTTTTGCCATTTTCTGTGCAATTTGAACGCCAAAATCCAACTTGAAGATGTGCAGATTTTATTTAATTCTTGAATGGTGGTGGCGCTGTCACATTTTGGTGGGACCACCAATTTTGACTTTTCATCTTCTGATTCTCACTCAGTTTTTTTTTCGGAAATCATAAAATTTCCTAAAAATTTCTGCTCCTTCTTCTTCATTTAGAATTTAAATTCCGGAAGCTGAACCATGACGTCAAAAAAGGCCGTTCAATCAGGACCTTCTCACGTCGCCGGAAATACCAACCATCGGGTCAGCGCTGCCACCACCACCACCGCCACGATAACCTCAAAAAAGATAAGCACCGACGTCATTTCGCCTGCTGAGGAGGAAGAGTTCGAGTTGTATTTGAGCAGTGACCTCGAGGAGGAAGAGGTCGACGTCGAGGAGAAGAAAATGGTGAGGAAATATGTGACCTAGTAGTAGATCGTGAATTGATTTGGTGATAACTTCTTACCGGGTAAGTATTAGTTTGCTTGAAACAAATTGTTTCTCAATGAGATATTCTCATTACTAGATGGTAATGTCCGTTATTACCGTGCCGGTAGAGTCATACTTGTACCCCGATCGGTATATAATGATTTAATACCAGCTTTCTATCTATAGAAAGCTGTTAGATCTAACAATGTGTAAATTAAATACTTTACATGAGTATAACAATTTTGTAGCTACATTACACTTTTGTAGCTATATTTATTGTGGTCGTGTTATTTATTATCATTTTTCTAGAGAATGCCTGCCACACTGAGGAAATTTAGACATTGGGTTCAAATAAAGAGAAAATCTTTCATCCCAAACACGGTGAGGTTGTTTTATTATCTGTTCTTTGTCCAATTTACATATTCCGAATTTTTTAAGTTTGTCTCATCTTTGGCTGGTTATCATTTTGTTGTGCAGATTTCGGACGAGTCGGCTCGGATTGGTCGCTACTTTAGGATCCTTGATAACACATTGGACGACATTATCTACGTTCTTGACGATAAGAGAGGTCAAGGATTTTCCACCGAGAAGGGGGCGCAAGGGAGTAAACAAGGAGAAGAAGTGCCAGAAATAATGCTGGACTTCCTTTTGGACGTGGAAAGGTCGGAAACAACTCCGGAACCTCCAGCCACACCCATACCTGTTCACCTTCATTCATGATAATGATAGAGAATGAGAATGAATTTCCCGTGAAAATGAGTGAAAGATTCTGTCAATTCAGATGAATTAAAAAATTTCTCATTCTCACTCCTTTCATTTTTCACTCAATGCTTCTGAACTTTGAATGAAAAAAGTTTTTTTGAACAGGTATGGCCACACCAACTCCACCACTGCCCGTCGTCAATCCGCCTGCAGTGTCAGTGGCAGAAATAATAGTTGACCAAGAGGAGGAGGAAGGATCTACACTTCCAGTTACGCCAATGCGTGTCCCTGCGCCAAGGTCGACCCTAGCCAAAAAATCCAGCCGGTCTCGGAGACGAATTCTTAAATCAAACCAGTCCACCAGCTCTAGTAGAAAGATGGTAATCTTTCAATTCTAAAAATGGACGTCTCCCAGCGTAAATATGGGATCCGATTTTGAGCAAATTAGTATCAATCGATGACAAATTTAATTAGGTTGAAATTTGCAAAAGACGCGATCTCCCAATGGGCACGTTTGGCAAAGATATTTGCATCCAAAGAGGAGAAAATTAGCCGAAAAGTCGACAAATTGTACACTTTCCAAGTTTTACTGGGCGTTTTCTCCTCTTTGGATGCAAATATCACGGCCAAACGTGCCCATTGGGAGGTCGTGTCTTCCGCAAATTTCATCCTAATTAAAAATGATGTGTGTGACGTGATTGCGAAATTAGTGCCAATCGATCACACATTTAATTAGTGTGAAATTTGCAAGACGCGATCTCCCAATGGGCACGTTTGGCCGTGATATTTGCATCCAAAGAGAAGAAAATGCGCAGTAAAACTTGGAAAGTGTACAATTTGTCGACTCCAGGGCGCATTTTCTCCTTATTTATTCCCTAATACGTAACAAGTTTAACATTGAGATTACGAATTGTGTGTGGCTAATTAAAACTACAGCCATGATTAAATAAAGGGTTATCTTTCGGGGATGGGCAAAATACTTTATGAAAATACAGCATTTTGATCTCCGTTCTTCCCATGGTTTGGATTTAGGGTGTTACACCCACAAAAAGAAGAAAATCTACGTGGAGAAAGTAAGTCACACCAAACTACAGGTTTTTTTAAGAAATTTACATACTCTAATTTTAGAAAATCATGAAAATAAAGTATTTTGACAGCTATGAAATGTTAATTTCTTCAAAAAACCTGCATTTTCGTGTGACTGTTGTATTCTCAGTGTAGATTCTCGACGTGGGTGTAGCAGCCCTGTAAATTTCCCTTCAATTCCCTGCAATTTTCCTTTCAATTTCCTTAATTTTCCCTTCAATTCCCTGCAATTTTCCTGAATTTTCCCTTCAATTTCCTTAATTTTCCCTTCAATTCCCTGCCATTTTCCTGAATTTTCCTTTCAATTTCCTTAATTTTCCCATCAATTCCCTGCAATTTTCCTGAATTTTCCCTTCAATTTCCTTAATTTTCCCTTCAATTCCCTGCCATTTTCCTGAATTTTCCTTTCAATTTCCTTAATTTTCCCTTCAATTCCCTGCAATTTTCCTGAATTTTCCCTTCAATTTCCTTAATTTTCCCTTCAATTCCCTGCCATTTTCCTGAATTTTCCTTTCAATTTCCTTAATTTTCCCTTCAATTCCCTGCAATCTCCCTCAATTTTCCCTAGAATTTTGCAACCCTTTCTCCACCGAATTAATTATTAACCAGTTACTTAATTAATTATACCTTTCAATATCTTTAAAGACTTCTTCTAAACCAAAACGCCACCACCACCCCTGTGCCACTTGCCACTTGCGGAAAAGCGTTCTCCCGCAAATCAGCCCTGACCCGACACGGGTTCATTCATTTCAGCCGAGAAGATAAGACCGTGGCGAGGCAGGCTTGGCGACACGAGTGCTTCTTTTGCCAGAAGAGGTTTTCCCACCAGTCCATCTATCATCGTCACCTGGTCTCCCACACGAAGGAGAAGGCATTTCGCTGCGACCAGTGCGGCAAACTGTTCGCTTATCGTTACGGCTTAACACTGCACCAGCGCAGGCACACCAAGGTACTCAAATGCCCATACCATATTTTTCCAATTTCGAAATTGTAACCATACCTGTTCACTTTCATTCATGTGACTGATGTTATGTATATATGATTATGCATAAATAAGTGGTACACAGTGAGAGGAGACAGAGGAGAGTATTTATTAGGAGACAGTTAAAGATGGAGTGTTGTACAGATTCATAACTAATTACATATACATATCTACGTAGGCATACATATACCTAACACTACCCTCTCACGAAAAAATTTTTCTCCTGAAAAATAGTCTGAAAGAGTGTGTAGGTCTGCAAACTAAAAATTTCAGTAGTCACAATTTGAATTAGAAATTTTGAGGGTTGGAGACAGGTAAAATTCATGGAAAAATGAAATATGAAATGACTCCGGAAAACAAACATGAACAAAGATTTTGCATGAATAACACTGAACAATTTAATACACATATCGAATGACGCAGTAATTTTGCAGGGCTGGAACTTGAGAAGAAGGTATGGCTCGCAACCGGCGGCGGAACTGCGCCATCCCAGGCGTGGTGGTGGTTGACTCATACAAAACCTGCAGATTGGGACAAAACGATGAACAAAGAAAAACACACTTCCACGGTCGCGGTATGCGGTCCATCGGGACATCGGAGACACACAAATACGCAGACCCGCAAGGGCCCCGTCGGGGCGACCCACAACCGGACAACTCGAAGACGCAGGACCCCGTGCGGGCGACCCACAACCGGACAGCTCGAAGACGCAGGGCCCCGTCGGGGCGACCCACAACCGGACAACTCGAAGACGCAGGGCCCCGTGCGGGCGACCCACAACCGGACAGCTCGAAGACGCAGGGCCCCGTCGGGGCGACCCACAACCGGACAACTCGAAGACGCAGGGCCCCGTGCGGGCGACCCACAACCGCGACTCGCCAAAAAGAGGGGAACCATGTACAATGCGGACCTCCACACCCGAACACGCAAACAATATGCAGACGCTGCTCATTACAAACACCAATCTCAGCGTTATATTTCACTCCGAGCCTGGGAAAGCGGTGACAACGCAGATCGAGCACAAAAGCTCAGCAGAACCCCGAGACAAGGTGAATCAGATTACATTCTTGCAACAAAATTTGACAAAGAATTGGGACAATCTTCCAGACGAAATGAATAAAAATGAGTTTCTTGCACACACTTTGCAGAAGTTTTGCAAATTTTGAACGAATTTTGATGAAAATTTTTCAGAAATTAAATGGAATTTTTTAACAATATTTTTACGATTTTTTAACAATTTGGAAGGACAATTTTGCATATATTTTTTTGACGTGTTTAAAACAAATAACGGAATTTTGAATTTTGCATATTTGCTCGAATTATGAAATGTAAATGTTGGACTGGAGATTTGGAAATTTTAAGAATGGGGGAAGATTTGCAGGGTGGTTTAGAACCAACTTACAGACCTGATAGCATCCGGGAGGATAATCCAATTTACAGACCAGATGACGAAAATTCACAAAAATAAGTTTCACACGAAAATCACACAGTTTACACAAGGTTTTGAGAAGAGAGATTTGGGAAGTTTCCCTATTGGAAGCAAAATGACAAGCTCTAAGGGGCGGTGGTCAAGCTGCTTAGTCGTCGCCGTCGTAGAAAATTTGGTAGGAAATGTCTTGCGAAGAATTTTGAAAATTTTGAAATCCATTTTGAGTGGGAGGAGCGAAAGAAAGTACTCGACGGTCCACCAATGTTATGTATATATGATTATACATAAATAAGTGGTACACAGTGAGAGGAGACGGAGGAGAGTATTTATTAGTGGAGAGTTAAAGATGGAGTGTTGTACAGATTCATAACTAATTACATATACATATCTACGTAGGCATACATATACCTAACTAATGAAAACCTGACTTATGAATGAAAATGAATTTCCTGTGATTTGAATGAATATGACTGAAGGATTCCGTCATTTCAGATGAATGAAAGGGTCTTTCACTCCTTTCATTTTTCACCCGATATTTAATACTTGTAGTGAAGTAAGAAATGAATATACCTGTTCAGTTTCATTCATTTGACTGATTTAAGGGTGGAATGAAGTGAAATGAAATGAATTTGAATGAAAATGACGGATGAATGTGAATGAACATCTTCCCTTGGAAATCGGAATGACTGACTTTTGAATTTTTGAACAGGTATGGAAATGCCCCCGGTGCCCCAAGAAGTTCGGCACCCAGTTTGACATGAGGAGGCATCTGAACGGCGTTCATCTCAATGTTTGGCACCCCTGCCCCCACTGCGATAAGCTCTTTAAGAAGTGGAGTCTTCCAGCACACGTGAAGAAGTTTCATCCGGCATAATCCAATCCTTCTCGAATGCTAAACGATCCAGAGTATGACTTATAATGGACGTCTCTCAGCGCATGCTCTCCGCAAATTAGATGCAATCTATCCATACCTGTTCAATTTCATTCATTTGACTGATTATGATAGTGAGTGAAAACGAATTTCCTTCCATTTGACTGAAAATCACTGAAGGATTCCGTCATTTCAGATGAATGACTGTAAATGAAAGGATTTCTCACTCATTTCATATTTCACCCTATCCTTAATACATGGGGCGAAGTAAGTAAGGAATGAAGTCCGATGAAGTAAAATGAATTGAATGAAAATGACTGAATTTTAATGAAAATCTTTAGTTAGAAATCGAGATGACTGACTTTTGAATGAAAACTAAATTTTTGAACACGTATGAATCGATGACAAATTTAATTAGGATGAAATTTGCGAAAGACGCGATTTCCCAATGGGCACGTTTGGCCGAGATATTTGCATCCCAAGAGGAGAAAATGCGTCATAAAGTCGAGAAATTTTACACTTTCCAAATTCACTGTGCATTTTCTCCTCTTCGGATGCAAATATCTCGGATACGTGCCCATTAGGAGATCGTATCTTTCGCAAATTCCATCCTAATTAAATTTGTGATCGATAGGTACTAATTTGACCAAAATCGGAGAGCATACGCTGCGAGACCTCCATTGTAAGGGTTCAGCTTTTTTAAATTATACAAATATTTAACTGATTTTACGATATAATGGCCATTCTTGTCACAAAAGTCGTATAAAAATTGCCAATAATAAAACTTTTAAATATATCAGTAATAAGTTATAGTTGTTAATAAATGATGGATAATTTAAATGATCATATCTGTAATTAGGTATTACCTCACTAGTAAGAAAAAATTGGAAACTCCCTGCTCTACAAATTCGTCGTCCAGAATTTTAAAATAAATTCCCAGAGAGGAGAAATGATTAAAAATGTGCTGATTTTTATTCTATTTTTGCGATAACTCATCGAGTCCTAGGTTAATATGAATCCCTTAAAAATTTTTGCATGTATGTAAAACGAAAAGCTTTTTCACGAAAATTTTTAAAACTCTTAAAAAATCGTAACAATTCCGAGCAAAATGTGGTAAATAGTAAATGCATAATACATATTAATTTTTATCCTCCATGAAAAATATTCACCCTTCCGTAATTTTATTTTAATTATAGGACTTCATCAGTGGCCGCGGAAGCTGTGGAGACATCTGGGGACATTTCCATTGTAGGATAGGGGAGGGACGGTTTATATAAGATGGGCAGATGATCGGGACATCGAACAACCGTGGGGACAATGTCCCTCTGTCCACACGCTTCCGCGGCCACTGGACTCCACGCTAATCACGCTACATAATTCATGTCATAGTATGATCTTTTCTGCACAATTTCATTCCATTAAAGCCCAATTTGAGAGACCGGTTTGGCCAGCCAGCCAGCCAGCCGTCTTTACATTGTTGACGTAAGTAAGTACATAATTACAGGTGTGGAACATTCCTCCTGACCACAAGGTGACTCAGAATCAGTGGTCGCGGAATGGTGGGGACAGAGGGGCGATGTCCGCATCATCTGCCCATCTTATACTAACTTCTCCCTCCCCTATCCTACAATAGCAATGTCCCCTCATGTCCCCACGGCTTCTGCGGCCACTGATAATAAAGCAACATATTTATCAACGAAGAAACAACAAAAGATCACAGTTTGCCAAAATTTGGCAAAGATTAAACTCATCCTGAGATCGTAAGTTAACAATGAAAATTCTGTGAATATTTATTCTTCCATTTTAATAAATGAGGTAATTCGTTTAGATCACATTTTACAAAAATTTGCAAACCGAGATAATATCAACTCAGTTTTTCTTTTCCATCCCGCCCTGGTATCCTTCCCATGCTATTAGTATGGTAGGGATACGAAGCGGGAACCAAATTTTTGGTGAAGTAATTCTGAGTCAGTAGTACATAAAACTCAGGTAACAAATAAAATAAAATCCTCTGTACCATTTTAATAAATTGGATAATTTGTTACGTTTTATGCAAATTTTACAACGATTTTTTTAAAATTTGGGTTTAAATTAAAATCTTTAATTTCACCAACACTGAGGAAATAAAAATAGATCAAATTTTGCAACAAATTAATTTGAAAAATAAATACCTCTCAAAATTAGGTAATTAATTTCCCAGTCATGCAAATCTTACACATTTTAATGATTTCTTGAATATGATTTTAAACTAAAACTTTCAATTTCATAAATAGTTGTCCAAAATCCGAAATTATGACGCCCTACAAATTCCTGGTCGTATTCCTCACCGTACTTTTTCTCCTCACTGATAACGCCTTATCGACACCATATCCGCGAAACTGTGGAAAAAATCGGCGAAGAAATTGTCCCTCTGAAAATAAGGCGACGACGACGACGACGCCAAAACCGGTGAAGGACGACGAAGGTCCGAAATTCATTTTGGCCAAGGTGACCGGCGTCCAGCCGAATACGAATTGTCCAAATGGTCAAGTCTTCTCGTCCCGGAGGGGAACCTGTGTCACAAATTTTTCCTCCCACCCAAAGGGGACAATTGGCAAGTAGACGGGAAATCATGGGAAATCAAATAAAATTCCAAAAACTTATTTTAAAAAATCTGAAAATATTCCAACTTTTCTAACGACCTGATGACGGTCAGACTTTGTGGGTGTGGTGTTCGCTAACTCATATAGATCACTAAAATTTTAAAATATTTTCACATATTGTTACACATTTTGGGATTTTGAGACACTTAAATATTTCCACTATTAAAATACCTAAGTATTTTAAAAATACGTAGATCTGTTACATATGTTTTTAAAAAAATACGTTTGCATTTTGTAAATATTATATACAATTCCATCCAAAAACTGAAAAAAATTCTGAAATGTAAGTCTTTATTTTTCTCCTTCTATAAAACAACGCAAAACGTACAATTTTTACAAGTAGGGCGAAAATCATGACAGTTTTAAAAAAACTAAAAAAACGTAAAACTTACAATTTTGGATTGGAGCATTAACTTGAAATAATAGAGAATGCATGCACTTACAATGTTTTATGTAAATCACAATTTGTAAATAAAAGCTATTTCTTACAAAAATCGGAAAACGTAATATTCTAATAAATAATTAGTAGTGGTGTTTTTATAAGAAAATTCCAAAACTTTAAAATAAATCTGAAAACGTAAAATGTTTTTTATATTAACCAATCATTTTATAAAAGCATTTTTGAAACTTTTTAAGCATAAATGTGACTCTACATTTAGTTGACTTTATTATTTTTCAATTACCACGAAAATGTTAATATTATGCGACGCAGCAAAATTTTTGTAAATGTTGAACATTAATTTAAAATTGTAGATTAAGGGACTAGTCCAATATAATTTCGTAGGGATAATTATTTTTTTGAAATAGATGTAAATTCCAAAAATACGAAAAATTCTGAAAATGTAAAATATCAATTTTTAACGTGCCTTCTTATTTAGATTTCTTAAATGTGATTAAATTTTTGAAATTTATTATTTCTCAATTACAGCGATTATGCGTCGTACTATTTTTTCGTCAGTGTGAAGCATCCATTTGTAATTAAAGAAACAATTTAAATATATTCATAAATTTCCAGTTCAATAATTCGTAGGTTTTTAAAAATAGAAGTAACTTCCAAAAAGTTTAAAAGTTCTGAAAATGCCGTTCTAATAAGTAATAGTCGTATTTTGTCTCTTTTTTAAGTATCAATGTGATTTTAAATTTACGATTTCTCAATTACCACGAAATTGCTAATATTATGCGTCGAACCAAAATATTTGTATGTGTTACGCATTAATTGAAAATTGTAGATCAAGGGATCAGTCCAATCTAATTTCGAAGGCATAATTATTTTTTGAAATAAATGTGAATTCCAAAAATATTAAAAATTCGGAAAATGTAAAATATCTAATATCAATTTTTAACGTGCCCTTAAAATTTCTTAAATGTGATTAAAATTGTTATAATTTATTACTTCTCAGTTTAATTGAGAAATAATAATTATTAAAACGGCATTTTCAGAACTTTTACATTTTTTGGAAGTTACTTCTATTTCTAAAAAAAAACTACGAATCATTGAACTGGAAATTTATGAATATATTTTAATTGTGTCTTTAATCTTAATACTTCACATTGAAAAAGCAATAATTTTTTTCCAATGTGACTTTAATTATTTTAATTTATTATTTTTCAATTACTACGAAATTGTTAATATTATGCGTCGAACAAAAATTTTTGTAGATGTTGAACATTAATTTAAAATTGTAGATCAAGGAAGCGTGCCAAAGGCTTTACGTAGCCATAATTATTATTTTTTAATAAATGTAAATTCTGAAAATGTAAAATGTCTAATAAAGTAATAACCAATAAGTGTTAACATGCGTCTAAAATTTCTAATTTTTTTTTAAATTTTTAAAATTTATTACTTCTCAATTATGCATCGTACTAATTATTTTTTCAATGTGAAGTATAAATTTGCAATTAAAGATTAAATATGCAATTTATATTAATAAATTTTCAGTTCAGTAATTCGTTGGTTAAAGTTGTAGGTTAAAATTTTTAGAAATAATTTTGAAATTTTAGCTAAGTAAATTTCGAAAATTTTAAAATTTCTGAAAATGCGTTCTAATAATTAAAAGTCGTGTTTTGTAAATTTTTAAGGCATAATGTGACTAATTATTTTCAATTTATCATTTCTCAATTACTACGAAACTGTATATTTATATTATGCTTCGCACCAAAGTTTTTATAAATGTTGAGCATTAATCTAAAATAGCAGATGAAGCCATACCTGCTCAAAAACTTCATTTCAGTTTTCATTCAAAATTCGGTCATCCCGATTTTTGATGGAAGATTTTCATTCACATTCACTCATTTTCTTTCAAATTAATTTCACTTCATTTCACTTCATCGGACTTCATGTCGTACTTCGCTCCATGCATTAAGCATAGGGTGAAAAATGAAATGAGTGAGAAATCTTTCATTCACAGTTATTCATTTGAAATGACGGAATCCTTCACTCATTTTCATTCAAATGACGGGAAATTCATTCTCATTCACTATCATGCACAATCAAAAGCGATCAAATTAATGAAAGTGAACAGATATGGATGAAGCCAGTTCCTAAAATTTTTTCGTATTCAAAATTATTTTTGGAATACAAGTTTCCAAAATTTAAAAACGTCTGGAAACGCAAAATACTTTATTGGAATCCCCTACCTATAATTACAACTGAAATTATGCACTCAAAATAAGGTAGTAATGAATCATTACCATGCGGAATGACTATGTGGTTCTACCACGTGGGTTACGATTTGTCGTAGAAATGGTAATAATAATTTCAGGAAAATTCAAATTCATTACCAAATATTAAGGAAGTGAATACCATTATGTATTAAATTTGAATTTCCCTGAAATGATATTACCATTTCTACGACAAATCGTAACCCACGTGGTAGAGACACATAGTCATTCCGCATGGTAATGATTCATTACTACCTTATTTTGAGTGTGTGTTTCTAAATATGAATGTGAATGCGACTAGTTTTTTTTAATTGTTTATATAATTGATAAGATTATACGACACACTAAATTTTTATCCGTATTGAGCATTTATATGAAATAATAGATGACGAATGGGAACTGTTGAAGGAGAAGGAAAGTCACAAATTTAAAAAAAATTGGATACGTGAAGATCAAAATTAACAGAACTTAGCTTCAAGTAAATTCCAAAATTACAACGAAAATGTTAATGTAGTGCGTCACATTAAAATTTTGAGTATTATTATTTGAGTATTATTTGAGTATTATTTTTGAGTAAAATTTGTCCAACCGTTGGACAAATTTTACCTTTTGGTTGCATCATCCTCTTTTTTTTTTACTCAACCTTGAGTAAAATTTACTTCTTTTGATTTAGAGTGCACCAATAATTATAATAAAAATTACGTGTTTTTTTAGTAGGGATGCGACTCTTAATTTTTTAATTTTGTACTTTTCAGCTACACCTAACTTGTTAGTATAATATTATGCGTCACACAAAATATTTGTCATTGTGTTGCATCTATTTTAAATAATTGACCATGTCACATCTTCGAATCATTTAATTGAAATAGTAATAAATTAAAAAAAACATAAAACATCTTTTTTGCAATACTAAATGTCTTGTTTCAAAACTTCCAAAATTACTTGTCCAAAGTCCAAAATTACTTGTTTTTTGTATTTCTGAAGTATGATTGTAAATTTTTAACTTCCCAATTACAACGAATTTGTTAACATTATACGCCACACAAAATTTTAGTGAATGTGAAGCATCTATTCGAAATAATAGATCACTTCCTTAACTAATGTCGTTGATGCGAATTCTACAATTTAAAAACAAATTCCGGAAACCATAAAATGCCTTTTTGTAATCACCAAAAATTGATGTAGAAATTACGTGCTGAGAGTGTGACTCGAAATTTTGTAAAATTATCAATTATATTAAATAATAGATCATTCGTTGGTATTGGAGGAAATTCCAAAATTTTAAAATTCTGAGAACGTAAAATGCCTTTATGTAATCACCAAAAGCTGTTATAAAAATTATGTGTTATTTTTAATTACGGACATGACTTGTAATTGTTTAAAAATTGTATTATTTCTCAATAATTTCAACTAATTGTATATTGTAAATATTACGCTTCACACTAAAATTTTTGTCAATATTTAACTCTTATTTGAAATAATAGATGAGTCACTTGCATAATTCTGTTCGCAGGTCAAGTCTATTTTTGAAATTGAATTAAAGTCTAAAATTTTAAAAATTCTGAAAACATAAAACCCCTTGTTAGAATTCAAATATATTTGCCATAAAAATTTCGTATCTTTTAAGCACGATGATGACTAGTTTTTTTATTTATTTAGTAATTCTTAATTACAACAAATTTGTGAATATTATGCGTCACTTTAAAATTTGTGGCAGTATTGACCATTGGTTTTAAATAATAGATATATGGTGAATGCTGGGTCTGGTTTTTATATGCCACAATTTGTTAGATAAAAATAAGTTTCTAAATTTAAAAAAAAAAACCTCTGAAAACTTTAACAAGTCTTTTGGTAATTACCATTAATTGTTATAAAAATCACACATTTTTGAATATGACTTATTTTTTTATTTTTTTATTTCTCAATTGCAACGAAAATGTTAATATCATGCGTCACAATAAAATTTAAGTTTTGTCGATGTTGAGAATAATTTTAAATAATAGATCAATAGTTATAAAACACGTACAACGTACAGGGTGTTAATAAAGTCCGATCCCATTTTTCCTGTAAAAAAGTGAAGGCTAGTATAAAAAAAAAACTACCCGTGATACTTACAAAAAATGTTCGACATATTTACCTTAGTATTTGGTCTTGTTACCATTTACTTTAACCATGCCCTCAACTCTTTGTTTAAGGCTCTGTGCTAATTTTTCCAATGTGCCTCTGGAAATCGAATTCCATACATCTTGAACTTTTTTTTACTAGCTCTTCCCTCGTCCGGGGTTGTGGCTCTTTGTATACATTTTCCTTAAGTATGGACCACTGGTTCTTCAGGGGATTCAAATCTGGGCCGTTAGCGGCCCACACCCCCTTGCTCCAGACCGTTGAAACTTGCGTCTTGATGAGACTCAAACTCGCTTTTGCTGTATGGGCTATAGCACCATCCTGCATGAAAACTATTTTTCTTTCATTCGGAAATATTTCCTTGTTCCCCATGCTATCGAAATAGATAGGTAATATTTTTTCCATATAATGCTTTGCATTGACTGATTGGCCTTTTGGTATGATATGTAGAGGGGTCACGCAACGTGCACAAAATCCACCCGCTACCATAACTTTAAGCCCGAATTTTGGGATCGCTCTTGATGGTACATCCGATTTGTTTTCTGTCCTGTAACGAACATTTTGTTGGTTCAATTTTGGATATAGTTCAATAATAGATTCGTCAGTCCAAAGGATGTGACTGCGCAATTCTTCACCAAGTCTTTTTTCACTCAAATGGGCACTTTTCTGAAGGAGTTCTTCAAATTTCAGACGGTCATCGATATATTTTTGTGACATGAGAGGTTTTTTTGGTTAGTTTGTAAGCTGTGTGACCCCACTTCGTAGTTTTCACAAATTTTTGCACGGTCACACAGTTAATTTGCTTCTTCTTCTCTTTATAGCGTTTTGAGTCATTTAACTACCTTGCTCAATTACGTAATGAACTACCGGTTTTCTTGCAAAGTCTGTTTTTAATCATTCTTTTTGTGGTAGGTGACACCTTTCTGGGTCGCCCTGGTCGCTTTTTGTCGTGGACAAAATTTTTATTCTTCCATTTCCAAACCGTTCTGCGGCTGCAGCCCAATTTTTGCACAATTTCTGTAGGTTTAAGCCCCTGCTGATGCAATGTTTGTATCTCAACTCTAAGATGCTCATGACTTACACGTTTAGTTGTTCCTCCCATGGTAAAAATTTGAAATAAATAACTTCACTGG